TAATGGTTGATCAGATTGAGATGTTTTGGTCAGAGTATATCACCTTTTAAACTGAGGATTTAGAGTCACATATTACTAATAGCACATTTGAATACCCTAATCAGGTCTGCCTAACCTTGCATTCTGACAGTGACTCAAGGCTGAGTAGTTGCATAGTTGCTTGCCACTGCCTCTTACCAACAAGTACCATTTCACATGTAAATCTATGCACAACTGATTCCCACAGTTAGTACTTAAGGAGGTTTTGAGGGTTTTTTTTTGTTTTAAATTTTATATTTTTATTTTTTGTGAACATGCTGTACAGAGGGGTTACAATTACATGGGCAGGATAATGCCTACATTTCTTATCAAGCATTGCAGCCTCCTCCTTTGTTAACCCTTCACATTCCTTCCCAGCCTCCCCCCGCCACACCCAATCCTCCCCACCTCCCCTACCTCCCCCCCCCCCCCCCCCGCACCAACGTTGTAAAGTTCATTTTTGACATGACAACTTATACTTCTCATTGTTGCAACAGGTCCACCTGTATTCTTAAACGACTTGTTTTTCCCCATCTCCTCCACAAATTATACCGACATCAATCTACATATGTATGGATTCTCACTAGATACTAGATGTGTGTTGAATGAGGAGATACCTTGTCCATAAGCTAACTTTTTCCAATATTGTGTTGTTTATAAACAATGAAACAAGCCCATGGTTGGATTTAACCCTAATTTTAACTGAAAGTACAAATTCTAAATTTATCTCTTTTTGTTTCTCCTCTTTATAGCAGATATTGTTAACCTCATTCTTCCTGAGGTTATCAACTGTGCAGATTTTCCTTCAATTTCCAGAATTTTCTCTCACCACTATTTTATTTTATTTATTATGAAAATACCATACAGAGGAGTTACAATTACATGGGCAAGATAATGAGTACATTTCTTATCAAGCATTGTTGCTTCACCACTATTTTAAAATAACTAATTATATCATTTATGATAGATAAAATATAGAGGCTATTAAACTTGAGGCTTTTCATAGTAGGTTAATTACCATCATATATAGTAACAGTAATAACATTTTTATAATATTTTATATCTAAGCCTTATGTATAGTAGTTTAATAATCCTTAATTCATATCATCTCAGGAACTCTGAAAAAAGTAGATATTATTATTCTACTTCATACAAGAGGAGACTGTGGGTCAAAGAGTTAGGCATTTTAAGTAAAATGAACTACTGATGTGTTACTACCAGCACTTGAAGGTAGTAGGTATGTTTATTGAAAAGCCTATCCTTCTATCCTGACTAGTACTAAAAGGAGGACTCATGCCTATAATCCTGTCTACTCAGGAGACTGAGATCTTGGGATCATGGTTCAAAGCCAGTTCCAGCAGGAAAGACCCTTACCTCCATTAAACCAAAACAGATGAAGTGGAGCTGTGGCTCAAGTGGTAGAGTACTAGCCTTGAGCAAAAGAAGTTCAGGGATTGTGCCTAGTCCCTAAGTTCAAGCCCAAGGTTGATACCAGAAAAAAGAGGACAAAACTAAAGAGACATGCTAAAACAAATTGTTATATATGAATGAAGACATTTCACAGCCTTAGAAATGCCTGTGGCTATAATAATGTGCATAAGAAAAAAGTGCTGATGCTGTCCTAGTGCCTTTCAAATGTTTGACATCATCTACTTTAAGAGTCATGGGAAAGAACACTAACACCGGGGAAATAGGACAAAATGTATGCTTAATTTAAGACTTCTTCCTTCCTTCTTGAATTCCTTTCTCAACATACCCCTCCCCCCCCACCAAAAAAATTCCTTCTCCTAGCAGAAAACTACCTATTTAAGAAGGGATGCAGAAGTAACAGAAGTAAGCCAGGTCCAAAGAAACATAGGTCCCATGGTTTCCCTTATTTGCAATAACTAGTGTATGTCTAGGACAAGCAGAAAAGGTCAAAAGGTATGTACATATGACCATATAAGATGATTCTAAGCGAATGAACCCCAAGATAGAGACAAGAGGTTTTATCTTTCTTGTTGTTGTTTTTAATGTACTTATAATATACTATGCGATTTTTTTTGTTTCTTTTGTATGTTCTTCCCCCATTGTATAACCTGTTTTCACTGTATTTTATTCTGGTGCCCTGAATCTTGTATATATATTTTTCTAAATTGGGGAGGGGATGGAAAATAACAAAATGCTGAAATAAGGACACAGGTTGACCCATTGTAACAATGAGATATACAAGACACTATTTTGAAAAGGAACTTTACAACTTCGGGGGTTGGTGGGAGGGAAGAGTTGGGGAGATGGGGAGGGAGGGGATGGTAGGGAAAAATCAAAGGAGGAGGTAACAATGCTCAATAGGAAATGTACTCATTACCTTACTCATGTAACTGTAGTCCCTCTGTACAGTATCTTTACAATAAAAATATACAAAAATAAGTGATATAAAAGCCAGATCACAAGAATGTTAGAGTAGAATGAACTGTCTTTCTGTAATAAATGTTCAGCTTTTATCATGTGTCAGACTTCCCTATGACATTGACAATATGACATTGCTAGTGGATTTCAATTGGACATTGTCTCCTACAGAGCAGCCAAAATGGTGCATTTTTAGTAGTAATGGCTCGTGTATGAGTTTCCTATGTGTACCTTAGATATCATATGCTGTCACATTCTCCTGTGCAAAAAGACTTGAGAGGTTGAATAGTAATGCTGTTTGCAGGTGTCATCTCTCGCGCCCCCAGTGAGAGTTTGTAGCTCTTGAAAAACAACTTTGAAGGAAAGCTTTCTGCTTGATGTGGATAGTGGTGTGATATTATATATACATATGTATGTATGTATGTATGTATGTATGTATGTATGTATGTCACGGAGCCAATGTGAGTTTTTGCCGAGGAGGAAATTCCCAACTGAGCTTGAAGCTGGGCCTGAGATTGAGTATAGTTTCCAAACTGAATAGTCATAAGCAGCCCTTGTGCCTTATGTGTGAACATGCAGGGCAGGAGATTGGAGTTTCTACATATGTTTTAAAAGTTGAAAGGGTGTGAGTGGAATCTACACTTCCACTCCTCTAATCTCATGTGGCTATAGCTTGGTCATCCATCTGCCTGCCAAGAAACACCCCCACCCACCCTTCCATTTTACTAAAACTACAAAGGTGGGGAGGAAAATAGCTATTCATTAATGATAGGTGATGAATTCAATGGGTTACAAGCCCCAGTGCACTATTAAATAAACCTCTATATAAAGCATGAGTCAGAGTTAGTCCTGCCATACTTGTTTTAGACAGCAAGGCAGTTTATTAAGTAAACTTGTATATACTGCAGTATAGATGAATATACTTTTGAGGTTTTTTTTCTACTAGTAGTTTTGCATAATTTTTGTAATCAGAAAATGTTTTTGTAATATTTTCTACTTTAATTTTTATCAAAATATTTTTAGCCAGGCGCTGGTGGCTCACACCTGTAATCCTAGCTACTCAGGAAGCTGAGATCTGAGGATCACGGTTCAAAGCCAGCCATGAGACTTATGCTGGAAGTGCAGCTATTCCTCAAATGGGAGAGCACTAGCCTTGACTGAAAACACTCATGGACAATGCCCAGGCCCTGAGTTCAAGCCCCAGGACCAAATTAATATTTTTTAAGTTTAAATTTTTACTATCTTTAGTTCTATCAAGGGGTTTCAACATGTTAATATATATGCATAGTGCATCCTCCATCATTCTCCCTTCACCTGCCCTAACACCACACAGCTCATTTTCAAATGACTATTATGATTGTTCACCATTGATTTCTCATTCATTCACCCTCTCCCTTTAAGTCTTTCCTCAACTTACATTTTTGTGGTTGTTAGGTACCAGTCCTGCAACATTTACTCAGGAGCTGGGCTCTGTCCCTGTCCTTTTTTTTTTTCTTAAGGCCAGCATACTACCACTTGAGCCACAGCTCCATGTCTGGCTTTTTGTTAGTTTAGTGGAGATAAGAGTCTCAGGAACTTTACTGTCTGTGCTGGCTTCAAATTCCATGATATTCAGATCTTAGCCTCCTGAGTAGCTTGGATTATAGGCTTGGGCCACCAGCAGATGGCCTCAAATTATGTTTTCTAACGTACTATAACATTTTCTTCATTAATAATGTACTTATATGAAGGTAGATAATGTAGGTCATTAAAACCTTATAATGTCTCTCTCTTTCTCCTATGTGTGTGTATGTGTGGTGTAATGTATATGTATAGTTTTTTTGCATCTATATATGAAATATCTATTTGGAATAGTTGAAATAACTCAGTTTTTCAGACCTATATAAAATATTCATATGTTTTTTCTTGGTTATAAATCATTTTCTGATATTTTACATTGATAGCTCACAGATTTGGATATCTGTAACAGCCGAAATTGATGATCAGATAATGGCCAATTCTAATGTCAAAAATTCTAGGATTACCTTACTGTCGTTTGTGTTTCCATCCACTTTTTCCCTAGCAGCATTCACTAGGAAATTATCCTCAGAAGTAGCTAATAATCATAGCATGAGCTGTGATTGTATTTCTGTGCTGTAATTTTATTTTTTAATTAAGATGATAAGATGGATGGCTTAAATTTATATACAAACACAAATTCTATGATTGAGCACTGTAAACACACTGACATGCAATCTGTATTTATAATCTCCATTTATCTAATGTAATGTAGTTGGCCTGTATTCTGTACTGCCATTGCTCTGCGTGGGGAAGTAGCTGGGAAAAGATGAATCACTCTTTTCATAGGGTGTTCACTCTGGCCTGGTGGCTCTTCAGACAAGAGTATTCTTTTGCCCTCAGTGTGGACGCTGTCTGCTGAATTCCTGTAATGCCATTCTGATCATACACATCTGCCTATCATTCACCGAGTAAACAGGAAAGCATTTGAAGATTATGTATGGTAATGTTAGACTCCTGAGAAAGTTTAATTTCTAAGAAGATACTAGAAAGCATTGGGGGAACTGAAATTCATAGTTTCTTTACTTTCTCAACAGAGTCTGCTTTAGAAGGCCTTGAGGATCTAGGCAAAGCGTATAGCAGCATTGGCCAGCAGCTGAATGAGACACTACGCCACCGCAGACACTCAGGAGAAAACAATTACAACATCGAGGTGCTGCTGGGAGTGGATGACTCTGTAGTCCGTTTCCATGGCAAAGAACATGTACAGAACTACCTCCTCACCCTGATGAACATTGTGAGTAGTGACTCCTTTGTCAGGCTTTTTGATCATTTAAATCACTACTTGATTTGTGAGGATTTTGGGAAAACCTGTACAAGTGCTCCATGACTGTGTCCACTGTCCAAACCATTTACAGATCAAATGTTGATCTACACATTTAAAAATCAAGAGTGCAAAATCAAAAGAAGCATGGAGCAGAAAGTTTCTTTTGGTTTCTTTTTCTGTTGTCATCAAGGGGAAGTCATATGTTTTAAAATCCTTATGGGATACAATTAAAATGTCAGTTTATGATTTTCATTTTGCATTGGGAACAGTCAGAATACTTAAGACAGTGAAGGGTGAAACAATTTTTTTCCAGTGTTGCTATGTGTCTCATGATGATGAATGTCTGGCGTCTATACTGCTTTTCAACAAATGTGATATATTCAGCATTGTAAGGTAGAAGCTCATAAAACACAACTCTTGGCACAGTGTTACATAGTAGTTGCCAACAATTCCTTTATTCGCTTTTTGATACCTAGGTAAAATGTCTCTAATGATAAACTAAATTTACTTTAAAAACTCAAGAAAAGGTAAATGTTTTAATTTGTTCTTCATACCTTCTTATGAGCCTTAATCAGAAGAAATTTTGCCTGCATTCTCAAGCTGATGTTCTTTGTGTTGAAAATTAGCAGAGAACAATTGTTGAAAATGAATAATAATGTGAAATATTAATAAATAGTATACAGGCCACCTAATTGTAAAAGAATAGTCAAGATAGAATTATATGCTTGTATGTTTTACTCAGGCCATGTAAAAATACATGTTACACTGAACTTGCAAATTTATTACCTAATTCTATCTTCTCTGTTCTTTGGCTTTGCATTTGATTCTTAATTTAATTTCTCTGGGCAATGTTGTTTACCTTGTTTTCCATATTTAAGATTAGATTTTTAAAATAATTATTCTGGTGGAGAAAAATTCTTACCAGTGATCATGATTGTTTACTTATTAATACTTGAGCCTATATGTTTGGGTTTTTTTGTTTTGTTTTGTTTTGCCAGTCCTGGAAACTGAGCTTCTTTTGCTCAAGGTTGGCACTCTACCACTTGAGCCATAGTGCCAATTTTGGCCTTTTCTACTTATGTGATACTGAGAAATTGAACCCCCTGGCAAGCACTCTATCACTAAGTCACATTCCTAGCCAAATAGCTCCTTTTTTGCCAGTCTTTGGGCTTGAATTCAAGACCTGGGCACTATCCCTGAGCTTCTTTTGCTCAAGGCTAGCACTCTATCACTTGTACCATAACACCATCTCTGGCTTTTTCTGTTTATGTGGTACTAAGGAATCAAACCCAGAGCTTCATGCATGCTAGGCAAGCACTCTACCACTAAGCCACATTCCCAGCACCTTGAGCCTTTAACATACAGTTAAACATTTTTTTATTCATTGGGATGTCAGTTTATAAAAATGTACATATATTGTGCTGCTATGATATAGAAATGAGTATAGACATTCAAACACATTTTTTATTTTTGGCAGTACTAGGTCGGCTAGGTGACACCTGCTAGATAGGTGCTCTTTCTCTTGAGTCAAACCTCTAGCCCTTTTACAAATATTTTTGAAACAGGATCTCACATTAATGCCTAGACAAGCATGAAACATGATTTAGTTTATGCTTTCTATGTAGATGGGATGATAGGTACAAGCTACTATGCTCTGCTTGTATTGGTTGGGATAGGGTCTCATGAACTTTTTACCCAGGCTAGCCTTAAACTGCAGTCCTTCAATTTCACCTTCCAAATTAGTTAGACTTTATAGACATGAGCCCACCATGCTTGGCTCTCAACATAGTTTAATTTGTTCATTGGCATTCATTCCTATTATGAAGACAAAGTAACATTTTGAGCAAGTTACTACATTCAGAATAAGTATGGGTAAAGGAATCATTGTGAATTCTGTTTTTTCAGCTCTTGTCTATTAACTTTTTATGTGGGTTGATAGTTGTATAATGTTGGGCTTGCTACTTAGGCTTCCATGTCAAATTTTATTTTCAAATTGCCTTAAGACTTCAGTGTTCCTACATAGATGCTGTTCTTACATCATCCATCATATCCCTGTACAACTTCCTTTTATCCCTAGAGAGACTGTCAGTCAGTGTAGATATTTATTAGGTTTCTAAGTGGTAACCAAAACTACAGAAAACTCTAGAGTGATCTTTGCCCTTACGCAACATAGAATCACAGACAAAACAGATTGTAAGCACTATAGTTTAAATGGTACCTCTTTTAAAAAGGGAGATGTGACCACAGTCATCCCATCCTTCATGTGTTAAGAGCATTACATTAGGCTGCATTAGGTCTAACCTTACTTATCACTGGCTGACTCTGGGACCTTAGAAATATCATACCCCTTTCTGGGTCTTCATTTCCATGCTCTTAAACTTGAAAAATTCAACAGATGTTCATTAAGTATATCATTTATTCAGAGGCTAGGGATTTATACTGTGTCTTTGGGAATTTGTTTTTATGTCCTTTCTTTATTTTTATATTTTGAGAAAAGCAACATTCTGGGAGCAGGTATCACTTAGCCAGGCACACAGTTGGTGCTGTTGCAGTCTGAGTTCATAACCTGTCCCTAACTGCTATTCTATACAACTAACTGGCTTCCTGGGAGAGGAAGGAATGAAACGAGGCAATGTATTGGAATGCTGGAGTCCAATTCCAATTATACTAGGGCTTCAATGCCAGGCTAACATGTATATATTGGATTGTACACAGAGTGAGAATAGTATGATTGGCTTTAGCCATCAGAATTCTGCTTATCTGCATAGCGTAGGGAGAGTGAAGCAAGCCTATGTGAGAATGAAGGAAGACTGAACCAAAGTGGAAACATGGGAATGGAGAAGGGGAGAATAAAATAGGGAAATTGTGTGTTGAACAAATACATTTCTTGTTCTTATTTTACCAGGACTTTGTGATTTGTATTTAGTAATTGCAAATTAATTGACTTCATTAAGTAACATAAAGCAAGAATCATTCTACGTTATTTACAGCTCTTCTTGAATTGTATTGAAACAAGCTTGGAATCATGAAGAAGTAATTTAAAATGAGTTAAGTAGATCTTTGGAAACAATCTGGTAATAGTCAGCACAAATATATCATTATCTGTACAACTGTTTGTTAATCTCCTAAACTGTGCTGGTGTGGGTGTTAGGTATTTTAAAAGTAGATAAAAGCATTTGAGAGAGATAAGGATAATCTTGTAATCTTCCTTTCTGGAGAGCCATGGAAGTAGGCTTGTCACCCAAATACAAACATTTGCAGCAAGTATTAACAGATTGTTTTGGCAGGCAGGTGAATTGGACAGATACTAACCCGCTGGGTATGGAAGTAGAGAGAATGGGTCATGGGCTTGATAACACATTCTCATACGCGGAGAAGAGGTAGAGCTAAAAGATGCCCAGGTCCTTTATTAAATTTGTATGCGTTAAACTGTACATAGTAGGGAGTTGCATTTTGACATTTCCATCCAATGTACTTTGATAATATTTCTCATTGCTCTCTCTTAAGGATTCCTGTCTTTAACTGTGGTAAGATATTCAGGAGAGAACAAGTTTCATGGCAAAGGTGGACAGCACGGTAAAGCAAATAGGTAACATCTCCATCTCAGTAGATCTGTTAGGAGCCTGAACAGATGTCTCTGAAATTCAAGAGGTAGATGAGTCAGGGCTAGATACCCATGTGGAATTCATCCACCTGTGAGTATGGTTTGAAGTATCACAGGGAAGAACATCTGAGAAGGGAAGGGGGGGATTTTTTAATATAAAAAAAGGGAAGGGGGTTGAAGAATGAACGTTGAGAAATGCTGATGTGCATGTGCTGGGCAGAAGAAGGGGAGCTAATCTTGCCAAAGACACAGGACACTGTGAATGAAGAAAGACACAGGCCAGTACTGCATGCCACAAAATCTCATAGGCTGACTGTTTTTTTTTTTCACAAAGGCAAGCGGGAAATTTTAGGAAAATTAACTCTGGAAAAAGAGTGATTAAATAAAGGTTAGAGTGAGTTGCTCCTTTGGAGTAAATGAAAGGAAGTGAGAAGGAACAAGACATGGAACTTCCACCATCACAGGAAGGTAGTTGTGGACAGAGAATGGCACGTGGATTTGATGGCCTTTTTTTTTTGCTAATCGTGTGGAGGAAGTGTTACTTGTGTCTCAGTCACTGTACATGGCAGTAGTAAGGAGTCCCCTCCACAGGGTTTGGAACTTCCTCAGACATGCTGACTTTTGCACTCACTCTTATTTTGTGTGTGTGTTATTCTTTCCTCAAAGGTGTCCCAAGATGATGTCAGTCCTGTCCTTGAGTTACTCTGCCGTGGCTAGCAAGTTTCATGTAGCACACACAATCCTCCTCTCCTTTTATCTTGCTAGCACCTGTTGCCATCTAAAATGACTTGCATTTTTCAGTTAATTTTTTTCTCTGATTTAGCCTGTTTTTTTTTTTCCCCACTAGCATACACGTTTGATAAGAACAGAGGGTCAGACTCACTTCCTGTGTAGTTGCACAATCCTATGGTATTTAAGCACATAGCAAATGTTCAAAAATAGTTGTTAACAGTAATAATATATAGTTATTAGTAATGGGCTTGGAGTTGACAGAAGAAGAATTAGCATATTGGGAGAGATCTACCTACTGATTGGATTTTTTAAGAATGGTATTTGTTTCATAGAACATCTTGAAATTCTTTTATTTACATCCAGAATCGCCAGAGCTATCTTCTCATTAGCTAACCAAACGTCTCTGAAAAAAATTCATATATATGTTCAGTTAATTTACTTCAATGTGAAAACTCCAATAATACAGTTATGTTTTGTACTTGAAAAGGCTAGGCACCATTTAAACACCATACATATGTAGACTCCTTTATTCCTTCCGGCAGTCTTGTGATGTCAATGATGTATAATGATTCCATTTTACAGAGGAGGTATCTGAGGCACAGACATGCATAAATACACCCCAAGGTCACAGAGTTAAAACCATACCCACTGGCTGCATAGCCCTTAATCTCAACCACTGTGCTACACTGCCTCTCAAGACAAATCCACCCATTGAAAGAAAAACGACTATTGCTTTGTTGAAGCCAGACAAAGCTGTTCATCAGCAAGTCAGACAAAGCAGGTCAGATTGTCCTGCCAGGGAAGTGTCATGGGAGAAATTGTCCTGTCCGGGAACAAACCTTGAAGGAATTTTCCTTTCAAGGAAAGGAGTACTTGATTTGATTTTTACCTTTTTTTCTCCCTTCACATCATTGGCAACCTCCTCAATTTAAGGTCATCTGAAAATTGAGTTAATGTTCTGTTTACCTCATCTTTCAGGTAATTTAATAAGGATACTCGGGGCTTGTCCCTAAACACCTCATAGAAGTCTACCCAGTGCCAATGAGTTGATTCTCATAGTGAAAGATGTCCAGTTATGCATAGACTTGCTTGGATTTGCATTATGTACTGTTGAATATGTGACTTCTCAGAATGTTTGTGTTAATGTTTTTCTAAAAATCCAAAACATTTTTACCCTATCTTGTGGTCCTTCCCACCCCATGAGCTGGTTTTAGCATCTTTCCCCCCAATATTTTAGGATATCATCTTATTAATAATTAAATTGTTACTTATTTATATTCAGAATATAGCTCATTTCTTTGAAATTTACATAAAGGAAGATTATGAACAGCAAGGGAAAATGTGAAGTTCTCCTTCATATCATATTCTTAATCACAGAGGTAATGGTGGATCACTGCTAAATACCATTCTAAAATAAAGTCCTTTATGTGTATGTGTGTAGTGTCCATACAGTGGTCTGAAAGTCTGGGGAAGTATAGCAAATGGTTTAAAATTCTGACTGGAATGAAATTGTCTAGATATTGGTATCTTGCTCTCTCTGCCAAAAGTGATGTTGGACAAGTTACCTAGCATTACTTAGCTTATCTTGGTCTCAGTTTCTTTAAATGTAAAGTGGAGATAATAGCTGTACAGCTGTTTCAAGGAATAGCTGTGTATTTAAAACAGTATCTAGACCCGGGCTATAGCTCAGTCGCAAAGCCTTGTTTAGCAAGTTCAATGTCTATAGTTCCATCCCCAGTTCCAAAAAAGGAAAACAATTAAAAAGAAAACTCAAACATAAAACAGCATCTAGGAACCAGGAAAGCTTTGTGTAATATTAGCTATAATATTTGGTTGGTTTTGATATTGCTTTTAAATCATTAAAAATATTTTCAATTGCCAAGTGCTGGTGGCTCACACCTGTAATCCTAGCTATTCAGAAGGCTCAGATTTGGGGATTGCAGTTCAAAGCCATCTTGGGCAGAAAAGGAAAATCCATGAGACTCTTACCTTTGATTAAGCACCAAAAAAGCTGGAAGTGGGTCTGTGGCTCAATGATAGGGCCTTGAGCACAAAAGCTCAAGGACAGCACCCAGCACCTTGAGTTCAAGCCGCAGGACTGGCCCAAATAAACAAAAGATTGCTTTCATGGCCATTAACAGTGAAAAAGCAGTACTTTATACGAGTATTATTTAGTTCCTTCAATAGGTTGGAGGTGTTAGTATGTTACACTGTGTGTTCCTTCCACACATCCTTTCTTGACTGGCAAAACCAGCCTGATCCTGGGAAGGGATAATAGGAGAAAAACAAAGGAGGAGATATCAGTGCTTGGCAAGAAATATACTCATTATGTTATTCATGTAACTGTAACCCCTCTGTACAATTAAAAAAAAAAATCTAAATTCTTTTCAGTATTTTTCTTGGCTTTTAAAAAGTGACTAGACATTTAAAATTTGTGTGTTCCTCGGAATAGTTTAAAATTTTTATTTAATCTTAAGGACACTCTTTTTTATGTGTGAACCTGGGAAAGGGCAGACATGCAGATGCAGTACACAGGGTGTTTTAGGTACTTTGTTCTTTGTCTCTAAAATGTTGGTGCTGCCATCTGCTGGAAAGAGCAGAGTTCTTAAAAGTTACAATTCAACAGTCAATCTTTCTGATAGTTCTCTTGTTAACATAAATTACATCTTTTATTTGAATGAGAATTACAAAATTCAAATAGCATCTTCAATTCTCTCTGGGGAAAAAGTTCATGAGAGGCAGCTATCTCTTGAGAGAAAGAGGTTCGTAAAACCATATCCACAACTATAAGCTCCACTTTTTGCACAGATAAGGATGGACGCTCAAGTATTTTGAATTTTCTGGGTGTGGTTGTGTGGTCTTTTGCTTGATTTGAGTAATTCCTCTATGAGAGGTAGAGAAACTATAATTATAACTTAAGCAGACCAAACCCCAGAGAGGTTAAAATAATCACTTTCTCAATGGCACAGCTGGAACTAGAATCTGGGACTTTGAGTATCTAATCCTGGGATGCTATATTATTCCTCCAACTTTCCTTATGTTGTTGTGTGTTTAGCAGTATTAAAACATTGCATCAGCCAGGTGCCAGTGGCTCACATCTGGAATCCAAACTATTTGGGAGGCTAAGATCTGAAGAGCATGTTTTGGAGCCAGCCTGGCAGAAAAGTCCATGAGACTTTTTATCTCCCTTTAACTACTAAAAATCTGGAAGTAAGTAGAGTTCTGGCTCAAGTGGTAGAGTGTCACTCTTGAGTGAAAAAACCAAAACATCACCTAGGTGCTTTGTTCAAGTCCTAATACTAGTCCACGCAAAAAAATTATTACAGGTATGGAGCCTGGAAAGATGAAAGTTGTGAGCACAATTTGAAAGTGAATAATACATGGGAAACAACTTTTTTAATTCTTGAAAAGTAAATTAATAAGATCCTGAACAGTACACACTACAGACACTACTGTTGGTTTGCCACATTGAAAATATAATTTCTTTTTATTTGATGTTTTGCCACATAACAGTATGTACATGGTGAGCTTCAAAATCATGTGTTGACTCAGAATATTCATTCCATTCATTGAAAAACAAATTAATTAGACTGGCATTAGAGTGATTTTTTTTATTAAGTAATACGTTTGGTGAATGTTAAAGCAATGTAAGCTAGTAACCAGTGGCTTATGCCTATACTCTTAGTTACTCAGGAGGCTGAGATCTGAGATTTTGCTTGAAAGCTAGCCAGGGCAAAAGAGTGTCTAAGACTCTTATCTCTAGTTAACACCAAAAAAGCAGAAGTAGAGCTGTGGCTCAAGTGGTAGAGCACTATCCTTGAGTGAAAAAGCTAAGGTACAGTGCCTAGGGCATGTGTTCAAGCCCCAGTACCACTATGCTGAACTAGGGCTTGAATTCAAGGCCTTTTAGTTACTTGATAGGCATGTGCTCTACTAGTTGAGCCATATTCATCCATTTCTGTTTTTTTTTTTTTAGTAATTTTTCAAATATGGTCTTGTGTATTGCCCAGGCTGTTTAGATAGCAATCCTCCAATTTAAGCTTTCTGTGTAGTTGGGACAGGTGCACACCTAGCTTTTATTGGCTAGGATGGATTCTTGCAACTTAAGCCAAGGCTGACCTTGAACCATCATCCTTTTGGTCTCTGCCTCCTAAGTATCTGGGATTACAAGTTTGAGCCACTGCACCTTTCCTATGTATTTTCTTTAGTTTTAAACTGTCATTGTTCTTCAAGTTTGCTTATATGCTATAATTGTTTTTTAGCCATTTATAAAAACACTTGGATCAATTGATTTCACATTTCACCTACATTATACTAAGTATGTTACACCTTTGTGTGTAAAGTTATGTTTCTAATTTGAAACAGCTGTTTTACAAGAAATGCGTTGGAATGCATGTGAGTCTGGATGAATGTGTTAGTGATAGGTCTGGCTTTAGATTTTTTACTTTTATTGAACTATAATGTTAGGAATTTTTTTTACTAGATAATTAATCCAGAAGTGGGGAGCAAGGATAGTCAGTCTTTAGCTAGGCATTACAAGGTGTGGCTTAAGAGAAGCTGCCATGGCCAAAGGGCCAAAAGTAAAAACTTTTTGAATAGAATTTAATTTCTTTATGTTGAACTGAAGATTTCTCCTCTGATAATGAGTGGTTTTTTTCTTTTACATTTTATAGGTATACAGCCTAAATGCAATCTCTTTCATATGACAGCTATTAAGTTTTCTTTCTGCATTATTTCTACAATCTAATGCCTAAGACCCTTCCCTCCTTCTTTATTAAAAATTTGAACAGTTTGTTTGCTTTAGTTAAATATTTGTCTAACCCCAACCCTGTAAGATAGTATTTTTTAATCAATCATGCCCATTTTATTGAGACTCAGATGAAGTGCTCACAAGCAGTAAATCCTGAACCAGGATTATCTGAGACTATTAATACTATTCATGCCTGATATCTAGGCCTTTGATCTCTGTCTTCCCAGCTATTCTTTGTAAGATACAATGTCTATTTAATGAAGCCCTTTTAAGTCCACTTCCTATATTTATATTATTGTGATGCTTACAAAATTATAATTCACATATCAAAAGTATGTGCTACAGTTAAAGATAAAATAATTGCAGAGTTCAGCTTAAAGTAAACAAAAAAAAAAACAGTTTTTTGAAGCTTTTATTTATGGTGACTTGCATGGCCTATCTCTTAAGTATTCTGCATCTCATAAGAATCCTTTGTGCTGCCTTTCTTTTAGTAATTATCTGCTTCATTTCCAGGTGAACGAAATTTACCACGATGAGTCCCTAGGCGTGCATATTAACGTGGCCCTGGTGCGCATGATAATGCTGGGCTATACAAAGGTAAGTAAAATGCCTTACAATTTATGATGGTGAGGGTTAGTGAGTAGAACACCAAGTTGCTGAAGCTATAGCCATCCTATGTCACATGGTTGCTCCTCTCAAGAGGAGACATTGCTTCAATCCATCAGTGTGTACCTCCACATGAGAACAGGTAGTGATTCTTGGGCTACTACCATTTGCTTAATATAATGGAGATGAAAAGAGATAGTTGTCCTGATTTTTGGAGTGGCTGCATGAATGAAAATGAATGGAAGGCATGAAGAGAAAATAATTTTCTTATTTTGTCATTATCAAGTGTATGGCTCATATGTTCATTCAAAATACTCATATTGAAAGCCAACTATGTGGCAGATACTGTCAAAGTGATAGAAACAGATCAGGGAAGAAGAGACTTCTTTTGCTAGCTTGGACAGTTGGATCAGAATACATATGGTAGACATTGCAGGTAATTGATTTCTGACCGCTTTTAAATGACAGTGGATATGTCCCTGTTCTTGGAAATAATAAAATGGAGGAAACAGAAGAAGTAAACTGGCCATTTAAAATTACATGTCCTTCTCCCATAATGAATCCTCCTCTTTATTAAACATTCATGAATTTTTATATTAAGGATACAGCAAAATGCCCATGAATTTGCCTTGCATTATCTATTTAGCATCCACTTACCATTATCTAAAAATAGGTGTCAGTGATCTTTAGTTTCTCCCATCAACCTGACCTATTTTGGGTGGCTACCAAGGAACAAGCCAACAATCTGGAGGTGTTAACAATCTTCGGTTGGTTGATCAGCCTATAACAAACTAGGCTAGTTTAATTTATTAAGAATGTAAACACTGGATAAGAACATTTACTGAACTGTAACAAAATGCTTTGCTTCTCAGCCAACCAGGGCCTCATTTTTGTTTCCAAGTTCAACTTCTCATCCCATCAAAAATATTCTGCAAAGGATGGCTATTTTGGTTATTGAAAGATAGCCCGTTTCCCCCTGAACTTTTAACCCCTAGCCATAATGCAATTATGGCAACATTCCAAGGAACTTAAACTTATTTATTGCAACTACAAGATAAGAGTCTATCTCTCTTCATTATCATGAAGTTAAAAAAAAAAACAAAACCTCACTTGGCTTTTTTTTCTTTTTTTCAAGAAGTTCACTATTCCCTTAAAGATTTGACCAGTAGTACCAGCTAATAGAAGAATATTCTTCCCACATATTAATTCTAGACCAAAAATATATGCAGAAATTCTTTTTAGTTGTACAAAGGGATTATTAGTACAAGTCAGATTATGAGTACAATACATCTTGGTCTTTTAATTTTATGTCCTTGGAAAAGTCCTACGCCAAAATATCTTAACATTTTTGTTTTTAATGTCTAACAAAATTTAAAATCTGAGCAAAATCAGGAAATACTTTAGACTTTTTAAATTCTTCCCCCAAATGATTAATACTGAGTTGGCTCATTATAGTAAATCTCAACTTCAAATACTCCCATAAATTGTGTCTGTCCACATTCGCATGTTGTATTGACCATCATGATCCCTTCATTGGCTTTTAGAATTCCCAAAACAGAACAAGATGCCCCCAATACTGTTATTGAATCATTGTTTTAAATACTCTTAATCAAAAAATCAAGCTTCATAAAAAGTTAATAAAGAAAGCATTTTGGAAAATGCTATATGTATCTTTAACATATTCTTTCCTTGTAGTCCATCAACCTCATAGAAAGGGGAAACCCATCCAGAAGTTTGGAAAATGTGTGTCGCTGGGCTTACCAGCAACAAAAACCAGATCCCAACCACTCTGAACACCATGATCATGCCATTTTCTTAACCAGGCAAGACTTTGGACCTGCTGGAATGCAAGGTATTTCCATCAATATGTAGAAGAAAAACCTAAAGGCAGGATGTTTCTTAAAGCAATCTTAAACAGTCTGTTCAAAATGTTCAAATCTCTACCATTACTTTCTACCACAAACTGACCACGCATATATTTTCCTTCCAGTGCTTTCAATGACTTCTGTGGAATTCACAATGGCAAATGGCACCTACATGCCATCGTAAATTATACCTGTCTTTAAAATAATGATTGTACATTTAGGGTGCAGAGGGGATGCTATAAAATGCAATGTGATTTCCACTGTTTCAAATGAGAAAAGAGATGCCAGGAGAAATGACCACTGACGAGAAGCTCTCTTCCAAAGTCAGCCTCCATTTATTGAATAAATTCTGATGAGGACTTTGGAATACGCAGGCTAACAATTTCCTTTTCAACACTGATGGAATTTCTGGCTCCTTTCATCGGCACCATGATATGAAGGGCCAGTTACTGAAACAGAAAAGGAACACTTGGCTAGAGGACAGATCAGAGTAGTAACGGCGGGGGCAGTTCCTTCCCTTAGCAAAGGAGAAAAGGCAGACCTCATGAATCTTTTTAGAGACTATTACCTGTGGCTTTCCCAAGAGAATGTAGCATCTTGCTAGCAGAGAAATAATACCACCCTTGTTTGCTGAAACATTTTTCCCCCTAGGCTAAGGCCCAGTAGTAATTCTTAATGGATTTTCTCATAAAATGAAAATAAAGGTAATTGTTATTCTCTACAGGATATGCTCCAGTCACAGGCATGTGTCATCCAGTGAGAAGTTGTACCCTGAATCATGAGGATGGTTTTTCATCAGCTTTTGTAGTAGCCCATGAAACTGGCCATGTGTAAGTCACTGTTGACAGCTATACAGAAAAAAAAAGCCTTTTGCTTTGCTTTTCCCAGTATTGTTTACACGTTGGGCAGAATGCATGCCAGCATGCAGTTCTTGTCCTTTGCCAAATGTGAGGCGCTGAAGACAGTGAAGGGGTCAGGCACTGAAACTCAATGAGTTACTGTCTTGCGGAGGCTCTCCTGTGCTTTTCATAGCTGTGGAATAAGAAAGACATCTCTGTTCAATTGCTCTTGAATTCCATGTCTATGACTTCTCCAAGGAAGCCCTGTTGACTTAAAAGACATGTCTTTCCCAGTACTTATTATTCCAAAAAGAAACTTAAGCCAAAGAAAGGTAGTTCTTCTCCTTCTTAACCTTGAGGTCGCCTCTGTGTTCTAGGTTGGGAATGGAGCATGACGGACAAGGCAACAGGTGTGGTGATGAGACCGCCATGGGCAGCGTCATGGCTCCCTTGGTACAAGCTGCCTTTCATCGCTACCACTGGTCTCGGTGCAGTGGTCAGGAACTAAAGAGATACATCCAGTATGTACCCTGCTGTGTGTTATGAACACTTCTGTCTTAGAACTTCTTGGCCATGAAATTGACTTTTCACACTTGGTTCTTAACAGAATCCTCAGAGAATAAAAACTGTTGTTGTTGTTGATAATAGACGCATTCCTCTAAGTCAGAGGTTTTAGCACCAGGATTCTATAATGTAACCATACTATTTAAGAAATAAGCCTCGAAGTTAAGTACATTTTTAATTATGAAGTGATTTCCCTTTAGAAAAATCCTTTATGAAGTGTGCAACTAAAGGCAAAACTTGAGTGGTGGTGGGGGAACTTATGGTCATGTGACTTCTGCATGTTATACACCTGTTTCCAGTAGTGTAGGTGTTAGGTTCTGCCATGCTACACAATGTAGAAGTTCGGTTAGTAACACAAACAGGATTACAGTTCTACTCCATTCCTGAGTTGAGCCTGGCTTACCTTTATGGAATAAATAAGGATAAAGGATTCCCCCCTGCCTTGCCAATTAGAGCTAAAGCTGAAAATCTTAAAATGTATGGTTTTGTTAACTAGCCCTATGATCTTGTAAAACACTAGGATATATAAGTTCTTTCACATTAGAAAATGATTTTAAAGATGAACATTGGGCTACATTTCATATTTTCTTTCCTGCAGTTCCTATGATTGTCTCCTGGATGATCCTTTCGAACATGATTGGCCCAAACTCCCAGAACTTCCTGGAATAAATTATTCTATGGATGACCAATGTCGTTTCGATTTTGGTGTTGGTTACAAGATGTGTACTGCGGTATGTTCCCCAGCATCAGTTTACAGTTGGCATCTTGAAATCTATTTGTGTAGTTCCTCTTTAGTGAGCTTTGCACTTAACTAATTACTAGTGTTTGTTATGTTCTTAGATGCTGAATCTTAGATGTACTGCTTTATTAAATCCTGATTGGGGGAGCTGGTACACTTTTATTTTATGGAATAAAACCCCAAGATGTACAGAGAGAACGATTTGCACAATCACACACCAAGTAAATAGAGAACCTTAAACCAAGGCTTTTAGGCTCCAAATCTTTATAGTCTACTCTTCTAGTTTTTGTAACCTTCAGAGGTGACTCAAAAGCCTTAAACATTGTGTTTTTCTGTGCTTTGGAGGCCCTTTAGGGGCCTTAGGCAAGGGTTCTGCTAGTAAAACATTGTACTTAATGCAAATGGCATACCCTGGGTATCAAAATATGAATATCCACAGACAGACTGGGTAGGTCAGGTCTTGTTGTTGAAACTTACTAAATGTATGACTTCGGGCACCTTGTTTAATCTCACAGGCTTAGTTTATTCACACATAAAATGTGAATAATGATAGCATTTATCTTCTAAGATTAGTGAAAGGATTAAATGTGATAATCTAATTGAAGTACTTAGCACAGTGTAGGGACTGCTCCACGAATTCATTAAAGCCAATCTCCCATGTAAATTTCAAATAGAGATGTTTTCATTAAAGTTCAAATAGAGGTATTTTCATTAAATTTTCATGTTGACATTTAGTTATTACAAGGAAGAAAGGAAAGGGGAGGGAAAAGGAGAGAAGAAAGGAGGGGAAGAGAAGCTTTTTCTATGTTGGAACAAGCATTGTGTGATAGACAAAAGAGGGAGAAAGTATTTCTTGATGTTGAATAGAAATGGATGTGCTGTTTGCAATCCTTCTCAGCATTTAGTTTTTATAGATGTACACAGTGAATGCCTAATTATCTGCATTAATGTTTTAGATCGGAGAGACGTAAAGTTGTAAGTCACTGCACGAAATAAACAATTTTTGCATAAGCCAAGAGAGATTAGAACAGATATATTCAGGTTTAAAAATGAGCACTAATATAAAATATCTATTAACAGAGGGAATCGTGTGAGTAAACTGTATAGGCAAAAGATAAATGGATAGTTTAAAATTTCTATCTAAGAGTCTAACCAGATCCCATTCTTTACATCCCTATGCTAATCTGACAAAGTACTTCACCTTGTTAAAATTATCTATCTAAGGAATTGTGAGGTGTTTACATTTAGGGAGAAAAAGAGCAGATATGTAAAGGTTGTACACAAGTGTATGTGTATGCTTGCATAAACATTTGGTGTAAATGCAGTGTTTAGGAAAATCATAAATAAAACCTTGGAAAAATGATAAAACCAAGATTCTAATCTGGCTCTGTTACTATCTCTTAACTGTAATAACAGGCTTAATTTGTAGCTTCTATTCCTCAGGTTGGGAATCCTTAGATTGGGATAAGTACTGAGTATATGGCAGGTGTATTATAAACTACATGAATGTTGTGAATAGAAAATTCTTTATAAACCGTATGAATAGATTGTTGTATTTTGCTATACCTTATACCTTAACTTACACTAAAGGTTTTCTTCTTTTAGTCAACTAATCATTATGAGCATGTTATTATTTATCTCTAGTTTATACCTATAGTGAAGGATATTAAACCATTGTAAATTAATTTCATGTTTAAAATATTCATAACTATTAAGCCACTTAAAATTCTAATATTGCCTATTTTAACACCAGAAATAGAAACAAGATGAGGAATATACATTGCATTTGATACTTTCAGGAAAGCACAACAGGAGTATTCTCTTCTTGAAATTCTGATGCAGTGCCTATTATTTTACATGGCACAACTTTGGCTATTAATTTGGAATGAATTTATCCAAGAAAAATGACATAGGGAAACTGTAGAGACAGTATATTTGGTGCATGTTCTGCTCTCTAAAATTTACCAACTGCTTGTTTCTCTCTTCCAGTTCCGAACCTTTGACCCATGTAAACAACTATGGTGCAGCCATCCTGACAATCCCTACTTTTGTAAGACTAAAAAGGGACCCCCACTAGATGGGACCGAATGTGCTGCTGGAAAAGTGAGTATCTCTATTTATAAATGACATGTGTACTACTCGTCTTTAAAAATCTAACCAATGGTGGACATTCCCTTACTGTTATCTGTATGGCAATCACAGTGCCTGATGACTCCCCATGGAAAAATATACTGACAGTTCGACTTTCCTGTGGCTATTAGAACATATGACCACAGACCTGGTGGCTTAAAACACCAAGAATTTATTCTGTCATAATCTTGAAGGCCAGAAATCCAGAATCTGTTTTGTAGAACTTAAAACGACATGTGGACCGGGCCATGCTCCTCCACAGGCTCTAGAAAAAGTGTACTTTCCTGTCTCATCCAGCTCCTAGTGGCCTACCACATTCCTGATTTGTGTCTACAGCACTCTGACCTCTGTCTCTGTGGTTAAATGGCTTAAAAAAATGTCAACTCCTCCTCTGCCTCTCTTCTAACAATACAAGGAATGGAATTTTGGATCCACCTAGGGAATGCAGGTGAATCCAAAATTCCATTCCTTGTATTGTTGATTTAATGCTATTTGCAAAGACATTTTTTTTCTAAATAAATGCACATTGGCAGGTGCAGGGCTTGGGAACTGCTATCTTTGGGACCACCATTGAGCCCACTACAGCTAGGCTGGGAAGAGGCAGGTCAGCCGGGGAGATTTGATTTACTGGCTGGCATCCTGTTCCTTGTGAAAGATGCCCAGAAATAAAGTCATGTGAATTTATGCAGAAGATTTGGCCTCATTCCTTGGGGAAAGATGCCCAGAGGTTTTAAATCTCAAATTGTGTAGTCAGGAATGAATGCCTAGAAACTGGCTTAGGGCCAAGGTATGCTACTCGTAAGGGCAAAAATCCCAAAACAAAGGCATGTTAAGAACTCAAGTTGAAGAGCCATGACTAGTTTACAAGTCAAATCGTTGACAAGACCAAAAGCTTGCAACAGGTATCAATATAGCTTTAGGTTTCAAAGGTGTATAAACTGTACTTGTGATAAGAACTACACATGATAATAAAACCTGTCATTACAAGGACTTATTGTGCCAACTACATTATATATACACACACATACTCTTGCTTTGGAAAAGTTCAACATTAAATGTTTAAATAAAAACAAGAGCAGGGACTGGGAAGGTAGCTCAGTGGTAGAGCGCTTGCCTTGCATGCCTGAGGCCCTGGGTTCGATTCCTCAGCACCACATAAGAAAAAAGAAAAAAGTCGGAAGTGGCGCTGTGGCTCAAGTGGGAGAGCACTAGCCTTGAGCTGAAGAGCTGAGGGACAGCGCCCAGGCCCAGAGTTCAGGCCCCATGACCGGACCAAAAAAAAAACAAACAAACAAGAGCAATAGTTCATTTTTGTTTTATTAAAAAGGATAGATATCTTGTAGTAAACACACACCTGCACATGCACACACACACGCACACGCGTGCGCGCAAGCGCACACATCAAGAGAGAGGAAGAGAAAGAGAGAAAAGGGTGTTTGAGTTCATGATGAGTTCTGGTCACCCTAAATAAGATGCATCTTTGGGATCAGGGCTCTAGTAGCCTCAATTACTTGATCAGATGGCTCTTAAACTAGTAATGGACATTGCTGCACCTTAACCTCATTGAAGAGGTAATCATTATCTGACCTAACCCTTAAAATCCTGGCAAATTAAAATTGTATACAGTAATAAAAGTGCTTTGAAGGCTAGATATGGCTTTGAATATACTGTATTAGTTAGTTCCTGAGTGGAGACAAATATTTTTCATGTCATCACTTTAATGTAGAGCAGATGACCCTCAAGCTAGAGATGATATAGGTCATGAGACATGATGGCTGCAGTAGTACTTACTGGAAAAATTGGTACTCAGAAAATTACGAAGCCCGCCAATTCTTACTGACTGATGAGAGATCATTTTAAAACTTGTTTGAATAATGGTATTTTCTCATTTTAATTTTATACTTACAAATGCAACAAAAGTTACCCTTTTGATAGGGCATCTTTGTGTTTTAATAGCTTTAGGATCATTTTAAATGAGCTTTTCACGTGGAGAAAGAAGCAAAGACACTCACTTCACCTAAATGGTTCTTGTCTGACAACTTCAGCTTTAGTGTGTGCGTGCTTTTCATAATTATCATTTGTCTTTCTCCTCAGTGGTGCTATAAAGGTCACTGCATGTGGAAGAATGCTAATCAGCAAAAACAAGATGGCAACTGGGGGTCATGGACCAAATTTGGCTCTTGTTCCCGAACATGTGGAACTGGTGTTCGTTTCAGAACACGCCAGTGCAATAATCCCACGTGAGTACAAGCCTCATGCTTCTTGTTACCGGTGCATAGACAAGAAAATAATAATACTTTGTTACTAGTATTCTTTTTGATGAAGTGCATGTAAAATATAAAATACAGTATGCAAAAACATAGCAATTTACAAAATAGTGTCTTGGGAAAAAATATTCATTTATCCATCTAATGAAGAGTAGTCAACAACAAAGATGATTTGCTTAAATGAATAGGGGAGATTTGTGGGGGAATTGTTGTTTGGGAATATGAAGGAGGCATCACTATGTTCTTGGGGTCCAGGCACAGGGCTGTGAGGTCCACCCCAAGAGCGTGGAATGGAAACACTACTAACCATATAGAATCATTCATTCCCTGGGGAGGCATGATTATTACCAAGTAGACAGCCAGGGAACTCTTTGGGAGAACAAGCATTTGTTCATTTACTTAACCTAAATTCATTCAATCCTTTCTTGTTTATTTCTCTTCAGATAGTAGAAAATAATTTTTAAATATAGGACATTCTTTCTTGTCTGTAGTTTAGCATCAAGTAGCTCTGTCTCCTGTTTGAGGAGCAGGATATCTCTCAAAGATTTTGTTTTATACAGACTATTAGATGCCATGCACCTGTGGCGTTAGAAGTAACAACAACCAACCAAAACTATACTAATAACTAAGATTCACAATACACCAGGGTCTAAGTGTCCTTAAATATGTTGATCTCATATAATCCTTATAACTTTGTTCTTTGGAAGACAGTGTTTTTATTTTCATTTTACCTAGAGGGAAACAGAAGAATAGAGCTATGATTAGAGTGGCTTTGAGTCCCCTCTGGAGGTTTTATATGTGGCAGAAAATACAGTTTTCTTGAATCCATGTATGTGCTTTTAAATCTCTTTATATACCTTTGCCATCTGTGTAAAACATTGTGGTTGGGAAGCAGACATTAGTTGAATTTTGGGGTCTTTCCCCACAGTAGAGAAAGCAGGGTACTTTGGAAATGCACTGGATTTAGGAAGTCTGAGTTCATTCATTCTGCTGGCACCTGGGAAGCCCTGGCTCTCTGCCCTCCAGCACTGTGTCTGCTCGCCTGAGCTGCCGAGCCAAAGCCACAGCCTTTTTCAATGTTGTCTTTTCTTTAGGCCCATCAATGGTGGTCAGGATTGTCCTGGTGTTAATTTTGAGTACCAGCTTTGTAATACAGAAGAATGCCAGAAACACTTCGAGGACTTCAGGGCCCAGCAGTGCCAGCAGCGTAACTCCCACTTTGAATACCAGAATAGCAAACACCACTGGTTGCCTTACGAACATCCTGAATGTGAGTAGACACAGCTCTTTTTTGCTGGGTGGATGGTCACTTAGACTTTAAGCTTTGCCAACACCAATCCCTGGCATTCTTGATCCCTGATTTGGTAACAAAAGAAGAATGATGGCTCCTAAGTTTTCCAAGGCTAAATCCCAATCCTTTCTCTAGAAGGAAGATTGTGACAGACATACAGTCCCTGGAAGGTAGCTTTATCCTCACCTGGAGTAAAACCACCAGAGGAACATAACACATGAGAGAATTTCTGAATCACATACAATCTTTCTACTATAAGAAATAAAAAAAAAGAAAAATAATCTTTTTTTTTTTTTTTTACCATTGTGTCCCCAAGGACCAAGGATCAAGACAAAAAAGACCATTTCTTACATCATTTAATAACAAAAGGAATTTTATAGCCTAAAAGGTTTCTAAACTAGTTGCTAAAATAGTCAGAGCGGGATGTCTGTAGCTCATGCCTGTAAATCCTAGCTCCTCAGGAGGCTGAAGAACGAGTTTCAAAGCCACCCTAAGAAGAACAGTCCATGTGACTCAATTTTCAATGAACCAGTTAAAAGCATGACTAGACGTGAGGTTCAAGTGGTAGGATTCTAGCATGAACAAGCAAACGGAGGGAGTATACCCCTTGAGTTCAAATCCTAGTACTGGCAAAAAAAAATAGTTGGAATTCTTTAAAATATTTTATTTCTTGTCCTTCAATTCATGAACCAATAAGTTCAAATAGAAATCTTGTCTTATTTCTTATGAGTGAATAAAAATGTAGTTACATGATTGTCATGCTATAATATGCCACTTGGATTCAGTTTAGAGGTAAATACATATATGCCAAAGTTTTAGCATTTTCAGAATAAATTACTTTTTAATTTATTTTAGTACAGGTCATTATATCCATTATTTTTAATCAATCACTTGCCCAGAGAATGCAATATGATTGGGTCAGACCAAAGAGAAAAACTCAGTGTTTCATTTTTTTAATCAAAGTTGGTGTGTGTGTGTGTGTGTGTGTGTGTGTGTGTGTGTGTGTGTGTGTGTGTGTGTGTGTGTGTGTGTGTGTGTGTGTGTGTGTGTGTGTGTGTGTGTGTGTGTGTGTGTGTGTGTGTGTGTGTGTGTGTGTCCGTACTTGCGTGTGCCAGTACTGGGACTTGAACTGGCCTGGGCACTGTCCCTTATCTTTTTCACTCAGGACAAGTGGTCTACCACTTACGCCATATTTCCATTTCTAGCTTTTTGGTAGGTAAGTGGAGTTAAGAGTATTTTGGATTTTTCTGTCCAGGCTGGCTTTGCTCTTCAACTCTCAGCCTCCTGAGTAGTTATAATCACAGTTGTGAGCCACTGGTATCTAGATTTTTTTTAAAGAGTTTTAAAACCTACTGCCTGGTATATTAGAGCAGTCCCAGTTTGTAACAGATATCCCTGCTCCACTACTAATTGGTCTCTTTGCACACTCCAAGAATTTAGATTAATCATGCACATGAAAACAAATTCATAGGCTGGCCTACTTACACGTTTCAGTTAGTCCTTGTTTTATTTATTTATCCAGAGTTCTGTTTGCTTTCAAGAATCCACACTGAAACTTTAATGCTTTCAAAAAATAAACTTCTGCTGTTCAAACATTCTGTTTTATTGAAGTAGTTAATTGTATCCTCTCTCTTTTACAGCCAAGAAAAGATGCCATCTTTATTGTCAATCCAGAGAGACAGGAGATGTTGCGTATATGAAACAGCTGGTACATGATGGCACGCACTGCTCCTACAAGGACCCGTATAGTATCTGTGTGCGAGGAGAGTGTGTGGTAAGTCCAGACTGCGGCTTCCCACAGTAGCTGGCCAGTCTAGGCTTACTGTCATTCACATGCATATTTTAAATATTTTTATGTCTGTGCTGGAGCTTGAATTCAAGGCTTCTTGCCCTTACTTGGCTTTTTCACTCAAGGCTGGCATTCTTCTACTGAAGCCACACCTCCACTTCCATGGTATTGCTCATTCAATGAAGATCAGACTTTCATGGACATTCCTGCCCAAGCTGGCTTTGAACTGTGATTCTTATATCTCAGCCTCCTGAGTGGCTAGAATTATAGGGGTGAGCCACTAGCACTGAGATTTATTTATTTATTTTCGGTTGATAAGTCTCTGTGAAGTTATATTCTAATGATAGCCTATTGAGAGATCAGTAGATAAACTTGGGAGGAACTGGTTAAAAGTAAATGTTTATTCACTGGTAAAATAAACACAGATTGAAATACAGTTTTTCTTATATACTTTTGATCCAGCTAAATGCCTTTCCTAAGAAAAAAACTGCATTCGGTTTGGGAAAAACAGCAGTTGGGAACAGTGCATTTGACTTTTTTTTACCAGTAGCCATCTAATAATTGAAGTAGATGATCTTTCAAAAAGAAAAAAGAATTGAATGCTAAATGTGCTTTGTCTTTTAAAGATAAAATAGATGCCCTCTTCTTCTGTTTTCTTCCTCTCTTATCTTTCAGTACTTTTAAGCATTCAGTTCCACATCCAAAGTTGTAGAGAACTTTTTTCTTTGTTGCATTTAATCTCTTGGTTAAACAATGCAGTATATTTTCTCCTTCTATGTTCACAATTAACATGAAGTTAGCCTTACTAATGGAAACACTGTTCTTAAGGTCTACTTTTCAGCAAAAATTTAAGTAGGCAGATGTCAGAAGATGCCTTAGTCATCATGTGCTGCTAAAATTGTTATATGTGTTGTTAATCTGTGTTGAAGACAGAATAGCGTAGATTGGGTAATTCATTTTAAGGAAATGTATTTGGTCCGTGGTTCAGGTGGCTAAGAAGGCCTAGGGCATGTGGCTTGCATCTACTTAGTATCCAACAAGGGCCTTTGTGTTCCCTCATCCCATAGTAAAAAGTGGAAGGGGAAAAGGGCATGTGAACCACAGAAAGCACAGGGAATCACTCTCAAAATGACCTCCTCACTTCTATAATAATGTAATTCAGGGAGATTCAATTGTGTCTTATTAACTACCTTGTCACTTGGCACTGTTGTGTTGGGGTTTAAGTTTCTAACACATGCCTTTTGAGAGAGACATATGTACACCATAGTAGTTGAAGATTTGTTGTTTTCATTTTTAGCTTTCCAAGATAACCTCCTAATGTATATGTGCTGTCATGATTTTCTCTCCCCATTTTGTTGCCAAGTATATAAGTGCAATGGTGTGTTATATCCTGCACTGATCTGAAGATGGCTCAGTACAGAAAACCATTAGTAGTTCCTTATTAATGTGAAATATTGACAGTAGCTGGCATTCAAATCCTCCCCATCCTGTGCTGTGTAGATCTTCCATTGTTCTTCCCCTGTATGCAACACTCAGCTTCCATTGATGTAAATACCAGTTTAAATACTGATCTGTAAACCTACTTTCCATGAGCGTACAATTTCCATGGCTATGTCTGAACCTTTCTGCATTTCTGAAATTGTCTTTCTTCTCTCTACAGTCCCTGAGAATCCTATGAAGTCACATATCCTATATAACACTTTGAAAGATTACTTACTCTAGTTATTATTCATCTTTATAAATATTAAAACAAGAAGAGTGCCATGCTGTTGTATTTTTCCCTCAACATCTGCTACATCTTTGCTTATTATCTGATTAAGACAGTTTATGTTAGAGGAAATATTGTACAAGACTGGAGCAATTGTGCAATTACTTAGAATACAAATTATCTGATTTCACACTAGTTCATCAAAAGATTGAGGTATGAGCAAACATGACTATAGTGAAACTAGGAACCAAGACTATACAAAAATAGTTCAATCATTCTCTGGGCAATTATTTTCTCTTTAGAGTATTAAAACTAGTCACATTTAATATCTTCTTTTCTCAGAAAGTGGGCTGTGATAAGGAAATTGGTTCAAACAAGATTGAAGATAAATGTGGGGTCTGTGGTGGAGATAATTCCCACTGTCGCACTGTGAAGGGGACATTTACCAGGATACCCAGGAAGCTTGGTAAGATGGGGTACTCATGAACTAATACACTGCTGTGATTTGTACTTTGAGTCATCTTTTAGAAGCACAGGATTTTTCTCCATGGATCTAGCCAAAAAACAAACAACAACAACAATAAAAAAAGGACCTGGTGATTTATTTCTACTTAAATTTCTTTTTCAAACAATAAAACTTACAATTCATACTTCATAGCATTCATGATGAAAAAAAAATCTACTAAATTTAGTTAAGGAGGGCTGGGAAGGTGGCTTAGTGGTAGAGTGCTTGCCTTGCATGCATGAGGCCCTGGGTTTGATTCCTCAGCACCACATAAGCAGAAAAAGCCAGAAGTGGTGCTGTGGCTCAAGTGATAGAATGCTAGCCTTGAGCTGAAGAGCTGAGGGACAGTGCCCAGGCCCAGAATTCAGGCTCCTTGATGGACAAAAACAACAACAAAAAATTAGTTAAGAAATAAACACAGTATCAATTACAGAAGTCAATCAAATCTGTTACGTATTGTCTTCTAAAGATAGTGCATATTTAATTAATGTTACGTTTAATATCTGTGGTTCATTAATGGACCAGGAGTTTAAAATCTTTCTAACTTTATAATGCTATACTACTTCCATTTCTTCTTTACTTAAAAAGTGAAGTTTTATCCTTTGTATAAATCGATGATTTTAAGATCTATCACATAATTTTTAACAATTTATCTTAAACAAAATTGAGATATAACCAAAAAGAATGTGAACCTGGAGTTAGATGTGTTTTGAAAGTCAAAAAGGCAGAATGCTATCTCCTCATACAACAAACTATATAGAAGATGTTAGTTTCGTAACTCTCTTTGGACTCTTCATAAAAGACTGAGACATGGACATTTATTACTGCTGAAGATTTCTTGAGTTTGTGACAAATATATAATCACTCATTGAAGAATTAGGGACATGGTTCTGGAAATTCAGCATTAACATAAATTCAGTTAGTTCCTTTCTTTATTCTTTTTTGTAGTAGTAAGATTTGAACTCAATGCCTTTTACTTGCTGGGTAGGTGCTCTACCACTCGAGCCACTCTGTAGACGCTTTTATGTCCATTATTTTTGAGAGATTGTTTTTCTTTATTCCCTGGGTCAGCCTGAACTGTGCTTCTTGTGTTAGTGCTTCCCTTGTCACTGGGATAATAGACATATACCATTTATGGAGTCCCATGAACTTAAAGGCATAGGCTGACCTCAAACCATAATCCTCCAGTTACTACTTCCCAGTTAGTAGGATTACAGGCTTGACTACCATTCCTAGAGAGTGCTCTTTTGAAGATTCTCTTCTCACATGTTAGCAAAGTGATACCGAATGATAGGGGAAAAATACATGAAGAAATTTGGTTTAAATACATTGTAATGATGGTAATTTTTCATGTTATAGAAGAAAATACTAGTCTCATCCACATGGAATACTTCTCTTAGTCCTTTTTATACCCAACTCTGCTGTACACCTCTAACTCAAGTTGACACTTATGTCAGCTTTGCTTGTTCATATATTTAGAATGACAGAAAGGTGACTATGACTCAGATGTGGTTCCTCTCAGGCATTTCCTTCTCTAGTTATTGATGTCCTTTCTATTCCTTTATGATGAATCACCACGCTTTATTATTTGCACATTATTTAAAAGCAAATATTGCCAGTTCTGGCTGATTGCTTTAAATACAGTGATATTGCAATATACCACTAATAATACAGAAATATAATTATATGTGTGTATGTATTTGTGTATATATATTTATGATTTTGTTAAAATCAAATGCTGGGAAATACGAGCTGTGCAGTTACATGTTGTTCTTTACTTTGGAGTATAACATAATGTGTTTTATTTCCAGAGTAAATTAATATAAGGAAATTGCCCTGATCATTCTGTATTCTGTGTAAGATAAGGTAGTTATATTTTTTACACAACTCAAAAATTGATGCTAACTTTGCAAACTATGGCCAAAAGAACATGAGAGTCTTCATCTGTCATACAGACTCACTTTTCACTAACGTCATTGTAGTCATTCAATAGACTAATTAAACTTTTCCAACAGGGAAACATTTAAGCAAGAGATGCCATAAAGAACTCAAGTTGCTGGAAAATGAAATCTGCAAGTATTCCACTTCCAATCGCCTCCATCATCTGCATTCATGCTTAGTCTTACTTTCATTGACTATTAACCGTTTATTGGCACTATCTAACGATTATAAATGCATTTTGCCTTCATCTAAAGTTACAGAACATTTTATATCTTATCTAATACAGTATATAGGGCTTATGGGAGAGTCAATGAAACAGCAAGACTTTGATAAACATGAAAACTACACTAATTAATGACCTTCTATTTAGGGAAGACAAGAGGCGCTTTCACTTTACCCAAAGGAGCTCGTAATATTTCTCTTGCTGAAACAAGAGAAGCTAAAAATGTACTGGGTAAGTTGTAGCAAAATGCAGAAAGATGGGCATCCATAAATGGCATCAAGCTGTTTCTCTGTATGTGGCATCTTAAGCATACTGCTTCTAGCCATTTCATAACATAGGCAAATAGTACCACCATCCGTTGAACTTGACCTTATGCTAAAGTGCAAAGCCCCAAATGACCACTGTACTTACTTAGGATACTCATAAATGTTGCAAAAAGCTGAGTAAACCTATCTACAAGTACATATTACAACCTAAGTAACAATAGTAGTAACAAGTTTGTCATAAGAATTACATCGGATTTTAAAACCCAAAGCAACTAATTTGTGCCTACTGATTTTATTATTTCTAGCTTAGAAAATTGAGGTATGTGTGTATGCATGCAACTTGCAGAGTTTCAAACAAGTGTTTTGGACAAATCCATGGCATGGATTTTAAAAATGAGCAAAATGCAAGTTTTGTGTCAGTTTTGGCTTTTAGTCTGAAAAGTTTTGAAAAAATGGAAGGTTAGCTGTTTATAACTTTAAAACCATACGTAAGCAGATAAACTATCTCAGGTCAGTCAGCAAGTATGTACATTCACTAAAAATTCAAAGGGTAGTTGAGAAAACTGGGATCACATGAAGAGAGTCAAGAATAGTATTTGCCTGAAACTGTTGATAGTTTATGTGTCAATATGACATAAATGACTAATAAGTGGGTTACAAGAGTCACTTTTTTCCCCTCTTAAATAAAAAGGTGGTTTTCCTTTTTTAAATTATCATTAAGTAGTTGTACAAAGCAGTTGCTATTTAACAAAGCAGCTTGTGAGAACAATATATCTTGTTCGATGTGTCTCCTTTCAACAGGCAGGCTGCCCAGAGGCTCTCAGTGCTTTGAACTTCACATTAGAAACAGCTTCTTTCAGTTTATGGATGCTCTCTTCTGCATGCAGAAGCAATAAGAATATAGTGCTCAACTAACCATGGTTGTTGCTTTTGTTTCCTTCTTTGCTTCCTCCATTGTTTACACATGCAAAGGCTACCTTAAGATGTTTGATATCCCCCATGGGGCTAGACATGTGTTAATCCAAGAAGAGGAGGCTTCTCCTCACATTCTTGGTAAGTTCCTATCTGCTGGCATCGCTTCAAATCATGCACTTAAACCCTGAAATGTCAAAGAAATTGCAAATAGAGCATATATGTTTGTGTGTATATATGTCTATACATATATATGCAAGAGTCACATATATAAATGCATTAGTTGAATATTTGGGTGAGTGTTTGTCCTTTCTCCAAAGTATTGTTTCTTTACAACAAGAAATATCTAAAAAATAAAACTTCAAGTATTGGTAGGAACTGGATCTGGGTCATAATTTACTTAAGGGGAAATGTAAGTTTATTCTTGTTATGCATTTTTGCTCTGTATGAGAGGATGATAAAATATGTTAAATACTCAATTAAGAAGGAATAATGTCAGAAAAATTCATCTACATTGAAAATGGTTGGTTGGTGCCATACTACAATGTGCTCCCCTCTTTTTTCCCCCCTGGATTTCAAGTTAAGTGAAAACTGATGTTAAATTTTCTACATATCTGACAGGTGTCATGGTTTTGACTGACACATTCAGATCTCTTTGCTTGGTTGATTGTAATTTCCAAAAGAGCATTCTCTTCCTCTTTTATGAGAGGATTATATAAAAATCTCACTTTAAAGGGCTTATATTTAAAGCGTAAAAATACTTTTTATACATTAAATAAAGCACTAAGATTTCTAAACCATAGGCACCATTCTCCAACTCCATGAAAATTTGTTGCATATTTTCCCTTTTTTCTTAATATTTGGGTTTGGTCTCAGTGCCTTGAGTTCCTTGTGGTTTGCTAAGCAGGTGCTCTACCACTTGAACCATGACCCTAGTCTTCTGTATTTTTTACTGCTTTTTTAAAGATATATTTTCAGGTGAGGTCTTGCATATTTTTTGCCCAGGGCTGATCTAGGACCATGATCCCTCTATGTAGTGTCTCCCAAGGAGCTGAGTTGACAAGCTCATGCCATCAAATCCAGCTATTGGTTGAAATAAGAATCTCATTGTTTTATTTGGGCTGTGTTTGGGTCACAATTCTCTGACCTCCATGTTCCAGATAGTTAATCTGATATGCAAGAGCCACTGTGCCTAGCAGTGAATCACTTTTTCTTATGTGTTACTTTAAAGAAAATGAAGTTTTTATGGTGTCTCAAAGAATTGGTTGTTTTAAGAATTTAAGTTATATCCTTATGCAGTTAGCCGTAGTTCTCTACCCAGAACTTCTTATTTTTCATGCTAACATTCAGATTCTCAATTAAAACAAACAGTTGAGAAGCTTAAGAGGAATACATATATTTATAGGTTTAAATTACTTACATTTTCCACACATTTTCAGTAGTGGTAGTAACTTAGAAAATTTTTGTTTTCTAAATTATCATGATACGCTGACACCTCTAAAATTTTATTTTGACAATATACAGTCGATCTATAATCTGTTAAGTCTATCAGCCAAAACAGTGCTGCATTGAGCAGTTGTGATGTGGCTTTGGAGTTTTTATCAGAAAACTTATTAGCCAAAAAAAAATCAGTTCCCCTACTTGGGGTGACTCAACATTTTGACCAACTTTATAGAGATATGCTATATAGAAGCTATTCTGTTATATGCTGGCCTAACAATATTGATTCTTGAGTATCATCTATTAGTATCTATGAAAAGTATCTATCATTTCCAAAATATCCTCAGCTTCTGGAAGAACTATATAGCATGAACTTCTTAGACCATCATAATCTCTTTGACAATGTTTTCAAATGGAAAAATTTGCAAACATTATATTTGCCTATTTAACTATCTTGCCATTGTTTTTTACTCAATAGGAGTGCTCTGGGGGGCAGTTTTTAATGCCTAATAAAGAAAATGGGAAGACTATTAGAACTAACCACCATTCATTTTGATAGCTTGATACTAATAAGTAGCCACTGATTTGTAGAAGGGGATAGACTAGCTCTGGGACTTTAAACATTGTTATATGATAAAATGCATGCCGGCTCCTTGTTTTCCTTCCTTTAGCCATTAAGAATCAGGCTACAGGTCACTACATTTTAAATGGCAAAGGGGAGGAGGCCAAGTCCCGGACGTTTATAGATCTTGGTGTGGAATGGGATTACAGCATTGAGGACGACATTGAGACTCTTCACACTGATGGGCCCTTACATGATCCTGTCATGGTTCTGGTATGTGATGTGAGAGGATCTGATGTGCAGTTGGCTTACTTTTATGATTGTTGTATCTGAACACACTTTTACCTTGGGCATTGCATAGATACTTTTCCTCCTAATCTCTGTGAAATACTGCCATACATTTTAGTAATATAGAACTTGAATAGTAAGTATTATCATTTTTTATTTAAGAAGTTGTCTTCCAAAGACAACAGAAAGGTAAGATTTTTATTTACCCACATTTCCAATGTTCATTCTTCCTTTCAAATCTGACTTTCAATTTATTAACATTTACTTTCAGTAGAAATAACTTCCTTTAGCATTTCTTTTGTTGAGGAACTACTATTGGACAATCCTTTCAATTATTGAAAATACTATTTTACCTTTGTGTTTGAAGGTATCTTTACTGGATTAGAATTCGTTTTTTGGTGGTGATGGGGTTTGAACTAAGAGCCTTATACCACTTGAACCATGCTCCCCCAACAGTTTTGCTTCTGATAAATTTTTAAAGAGAATCTTGTTCTTTGCCTGTGTTGAAATGTGATACTATTTATGCTTCCCACATTGTTTTAGTTACAAGTGTGAATCACTAGTTAGCTTTTTATTGATGAAAGTGGGGTCTAAACTTTGCCTGAACTGACCTAAAACTGATCCAGTCTCCACACAGATGTAAGCCTGTACCTGGTGGGGTTGCTATTCTTTCCCTTAATGTCTATGTACTTAAAGAAAGTCATTATCTTTAAGTAGTTGTACAAAGGGTTTCAATTCTACATGTCAGTTTATGAGTACATATGAGCACAACGCATCCGGATCAGTGGTATCCCTTTTATCTTTCTCCTCCATGTCTCCCAACCCCACCCATCCTTTCAGTTTCTCTGGTGTTATTTTACATACATACATTGAGTATTATGAATGAGATGGTCTCACCCTTCCTCTTCATTCATCTGTCCTCCCTTTGTTCTCATTCCCAACCCCGACACCTCAAATGTCCATGTTCTGGGGATAGAATACTAGAGGATTTGGAGGGTGGGAGTGTCTAATCAAAAAGAAAAGGCATGTCTATATAGTGACAGTAGCACACACAAACTTTACATAGGTGCATGTTTACAAGTATGGTTAGCACCTACAGACCCAGGGAAGCCAGGAAGAAGAGGGAAGTTGAGCAAGAGGGCATACCTGTTTAGGGGATGTACTCAGCACCATCAGGGATTCTGCCTCATGAGTTTCTGAGAGCAATATCCTTCCTTACACCCAGTCTTATTTACACTTAGCAGTTGCATTATGCCATTTCATACAAGTGTGAAGCACACAGGCTCTAAATGACTAAAAAAAAAAAATATCTTGTTTGGGCTACATTGCAAAGAATCAGGTGTGTAAAATTTTGTTGTTTTTAGTGTCAGAGGAATTTTGAGTTAATAGTTATCAGCCTATTGTGAAGAAAAAAAAAGAGCCAGGATGTATCTTAAATCCACGGCTAGGACATTTGTCTTCCAGATCTGCTTTTTATGGTCAAAACTTCATATATTGCTGCTCTCCAAGCAGTGTGCCAATTTTCTCTGCCTGTTTTGAGTACTTTAGTTTGCGGTTTGCTGGGAATCTTCACTATGTGTTCATGGTTAGTTTTTATTGTCCCCTATTTGGTTAATTTTCTATTATATCTTCAGGGTAGCTGCTCCAACTCCATCATTGCCTTTTCTACTCAGAGGTCTTAAATTTTAGCAAGGATTTATTTTAGTATAGCAGGATAAACAAGGGAGAAACATTTCCTGTTCTCTACACAGGAAATGGGAGTAAAAGACTCTATTCATGTCTTATTTTACATACATGTTGAACCAGTTAAAATTGTTCCACAAGTCTTAGGCTCTACTTATTCTTTTATAATTTTCATAAAAAATGTTCAGATTGCATAATTTCTATTGAGGTCTCATTAAATTTACTGTTTTTGTTTATTTGATCTCTAATTCTGTCTGCAATTTTTTCATACTTTTCTACTATGTCCATTTAGCTTTTGTTTGTTTTCATATCTTTTTTTATTTCAGTAATTTCCATTTCTCTGCAGGTTCATTTATTTTTTCCAGCTATTATTAAATTCTGTATCTCCATGCTGTCTGGTTCCCTTGACTGCTAATTTCTTTATGATTACTAGCTATAACTCTTTGCTTATGCTTAAAACTTTTTTCCACTGGACATTATGAATGAAAAACTGGTTATTTGGTTTTGTTCATCATGTAAGTCTTTGAAGACCTGGTTTCATTCTTCATTCAGACTGGTCTACCAATTTTGTTCTTACTCCTTTGGAAAGTTCTTAGCTGAGTAGCTCAAGTGTGAACGAGGTTCCTCTGCTGGATAAAAAATTTGACTTCTGCCCTGCCTGCTGTCTGGTATCATTGTCCCATTCCTAACCAGCAGTGGCCACTCATGATAGAGCATAAGGTAACTTGGCCTGACTATGAACAGACCAGCACTCAGATAAGGAACCTGGGGATCTTCTAGGCTCCTCCTACAGTCTGTTTCCTCTTAATCTCTAAACCCTAATCATCCACTGTGGGGGCTGGCTGCACTTGTCTCTTGCTCTCCTGTCTGGGGGCTTATTTCTCTTCTCAGTCACACAGATCACTGGTCGCCTCTCTTCAATTCCATCATACAGTCTTTATGTTCTTTCTAACTTCATAGTTCTTTTTGTCCATCAACATGACACCTCCAATAATCTACTTGACTTGAAATGTGTTCTTAGATTCTCAGTTAAAATTTGTTATTAACCTAAAACCAAATTTCCCCAACCTTGTCTTTTCTCTTCTAGAAAATAATTTCCCTTTTTCAGTGTCTTCAAGTATTTGTAAAATTTTCTTTTGTAAAATTTTTGACAGTTATTATTCTTTCTATAAGTTTGGTGAGTTCCACTGTGAAACGTGATTTGCAAATATTCTAGTCCACAACTGGACTTCAGTGAGGGAAAAATTTAGTTGGGATCAAATCTAGCCAAACACTCTGTCAGTGACCTATATCCCGAGCCTTTTTCTTTTCTCCTTCTGAAGTTGTCCTTTCTATTTATAGTGAATTATACAAATGTATCTGACTGTTTCTGGACTCTCAGACAAAAATTGTTTAGTTTTGGCCCACTGGTTATAATGTAACCACAGGAAGACACAGGAGGGAGATTTTGTAGCTAGGAAAGGTAGAGTTGCAGGTCAGAAGGGTCTTTCTTTTCCTCTTAAAGAACTGGAACTTGAGGTTGGGAGCCACAGAGCATGGTGGCCAGGTTGTCATGGTTGAAAAAGTTAGATGTCTGTCTAGACAGAATGAGTTGATATTTGACTCTCAATCCTGTATTAAACACAGGTTAAGGAAATACAACACAGATACTAGATTCTTTACCCAATGGGCTCTCAAACAAAAGCTATGTCTAAAACATTAAAATTGCATGGATTGCACATATTACCCCTTGGTATAATTCATTCACCCTAAGCTATATAGAATGGCAAACAACAGAGAAAACATTTGTGATTAATGCTTTTAGTATGTAGAACTTTTTAGAAATTAAAATGTGTACCAATTAAAGAGGCTGACAATTATGCAGTGCACAGTGGACAAAAATACAAGTGAGAAATCAGTTTGGAGGAATTGAACTTGGTAAGTTATGAAATAAATAAAGATCTTTTTCCAGTACAGTTTGTGAAGGTGAAAACTTTAGGACGTTTTAACATAGTCCTATTTATGAAAATTACAATTGCTTTATCTCTGCTGGCCATTCACCAGTCTATTACAAAAACAATAAATATGCTGTTAATCTACTGGAAATCTTCTTAATGGTAGAGACCATAATATGTACTGAAAGACAAATTTTTATGTCTAAAGATCAGCATCTTTAAAACCATGTTATATAAAAATATTTACATGTTATCCAAGAAAAATTGTGTGACTTATTATGGGAAATAAGCAGGAACAGACAAACACGAAAGTGACTTTCCTTTTCTCTTGTTTGGTAGAACTATGAATGGGTTCTAAATATATTTTTCCATAATATATTTTGCCTTGAGGGAATATCATTATTGCAAAAGAGCTTATTATTTTTTTAAAAACTTGAAAATACACAGATGGTAAAATTTAAGGAAAACTATGGTGAATGTTATATAAATGCAAACTTAACTCCTTAATGTATGCAGTTCTTTGAAGCATTTTTATGCTCAAAATTTTATATATATTTTTAATATATATTTTTAATATATATTTTTAATATATTTATTTTCTTATATATTTTTTATTTAACTGTGTGCCTTGCACTTGGATTGAGAACATTATATAAGAACAATATTGTGAAATGTTTAGTTTTTTCACTCAAAAAAATAAAGCTTTTTATTTCATGTGGGCTTTAGATTATACCTAAAGAGAATGATACCCGCTCCCGCTTGACGTATAAGTATATCATCCATGAAGACTCCGTGCCTACAATTAACAGCAACAATGTCATTCAGGAAGAATTAGATACTTTTGAGTGGGCTTTGAAGAGTTGGTCTCAGTGCTCCAAACCCTGTGGTGGAGGTAAGAAACAAAAAGTTATAGTTTTAACATGAAATTCATTCAAAAGCCAATCGTGCTTCTACCTCTAATTGAAATACCAAGAATAACAACCAAAATGCAAGTACCAAACATGGTTAGTGAAAATCCCAGAATCAGCAAAGCAGCATATTTCATTCATTACAATGGGGACCACAGAATCTCCTTGCTAATTTCTCTTAGGTTATATCTATGTTCAGTGCGGTGGTTACACGTAATCACTTTTCCACAACTCCAAAACTGTCCCAAATCAGTGTGCATAGATTATCACCTTTCTTCTCTTTTTTCTTATTTTTTTTTTAAAGTAGAGTAGGTGCACAAAGGGGTTTCAGTTTCCCAAAAGATTAGATTATGAGAACAATGCAACTTAATCAATGTTACTTCTTCCATCATTCTATTTTATTTTGATAACTCTGTAGCTGATTATGCTCTGTATTTGGATCCAGCTTTTACCCGGAGTGCTTACGTATCCCTGTAAAAATACTCAACAATGGCCTAATGAGATGGGTGTATTTTCATATCCATTTTACTGATGGTAAAACCCCTACACCAAGGAAGCTAACTAGTGTTGTTCAATTCTCCCATCATTCATTCCTCTAATTCTGAAAAATACTGCTGTGTTGAGCTGGCTAAGATAGAATTCTCCCCAACAGGAAAGGGAAGGTGAGGCACTATCATAAAAATGATTGCATACATAACTGTAAACAACACTATTCATGTAGGGAATGCCTGAGTTAACCATTTTTATAACTTAAAATTGAAGAATGTATTCCTAAAGTGTATCTAAAGTTAGTAGGAACTTTTACATAATTAAGAATCTTTTTTTATTTGTATTTTTTGCTAGTCCTGGGGCTTGACCTCAGGGTTCTGGGCATTATCCTTGAGAGTTTTTGCTAAAGACTAGTGCTTACCACTTGAGCCACACCCTCATTCTGGCATTTTGGTTGTTCGAGATAATTGTCTCAAGAGTTTTCTGCCTGGGCTGGCTTTGAATCATGATCCTCAGATCTCAGCTTCCTAAATAGGATTACAGGTGTGAGCCACTGGCACCTGCTTAAGAACATCTCTTTATCCATTACAGGTTGGTCATTTAATTCAGATTCTCCTTGTACCATTACATCCTCTTGGTCCTAATGCAGGTCATGCCCATGTGGCTCCTTCCTGGCCAGGTTTCCTTCCCTGTTTTGGAAGGGAGAGTTATGGCAACAATCTTTGATTGATGGTAATTTTCTACTATTCCTGTATCCCTAAGGTAAAAATTTTTGAGGGAAAAGTAGGACTATGTTATTTTAAAATCCTCCTATCTTTTAATGTAGTATTGTCACCTGCAAATAACTGGATCATCATGAGTATGCATTTAACCAAAACTGCAGGACATTTTACAAAAGTGGTTTATTCATTTCAAAAATATTGATTGCAATGAAAAAGTGATTAAAAATAGTCATAATGCATCTCAGAGGCTAGACAGATTAGCAGTTCAATGTAAGATACAATCTTGAGTTGGAAGAGCACTGCTACAGGGATCATTGGGAGGACCTATAACAGGTTTTGTCTATATTATTCAATGTTAAATGCCCTGCTTCTAAGAATCATACAGTGTTTCTAAGGATCAAGATGTCTGCAAGTTAAATTCTCAGTTCGGGAAGATATTACACAAAGTAAAATGGTAGCTATGATGGATAGTAAATTGCTGACATGCTAACAAAAGATTAACCTAGATGCAGCAATCTGGGTTTTGTGCTTTCTTTACAAATTTTTGTAGATTTTGAAATTTTTTCCAGACTAGTAATTGTAGAAATCAAAATTGAAAATATTGGGAGATCTCCTTATCTCTGGCCTCTTCATATGTGACACACCTCAAGTGTCCTGTCCCTAGAATTTAATTCTGCTTCTTTTGCTTTTACCCATACAATTTGAACTTCAAGATTTTTTTTTGCTCAAGGAAGTTGGGCTCTTATAAGCTTTTGTTGCCTTTTCTCCAGGAAAGCTTTAAGGTGCCCTCTGCATAGTTATTCACATAATACTATAAAGCCTCTGGCACCAGTATTGATTATCACACTAAAATGCATATACTGCATTTATTTAAATTCACTGGAAAGTGTGCATAATTGATGTTCTGTAGCTTCTAATAAATTTTAAAAGATTAGCTATTTTCACCTTCAATTGAAAATGATAGAACCTCTTACCCTTCTTACCTTTGCACTTGGTTTACTATGTGCACTCAAAATATTCCTTGAATGAATATTCAAAAAGGGTATTTCTTTTTCCAGGTTTCCAGTACACTAAATACGGATGCCGGAGGAAAAGTGATAATAAAATGGTTCATCGTAGCTTCTGTGAGGCCAGCAAAAAGCCAAAACCCATTAGACGAATGTGCAATATTCAGGAATGCACACATCCACTGTAAGCATCTAACTGTCCTATTCTGAGAGTGAAATAGGAGTTTGGCTCATTTAAAGTTTTACCCATAAGCAAAGCTTATATAAGGATTATATTAAAGCTGTGGTTGCTGCCTCTTAGCTGCTAACATACACCACTTTCTTGATTCAAGGTTTGGGCAGAGTTGAATATTCAATATCTACTGTGCATTGTGAGATAGTTTAGCACTGTGTACAGCAAACATAAACCATACTTATTCCTTCCCTATGCTTCCATATTGGTTTCTTTGTAAGAGCTATTAGTTTTTGGGGCTTCCTTCAGTATGTCTTTGTTTCCATTCCTCTGAGAATTTTCTTCTCCAATAAATGTATGTCTTCATTTTCTCCATTTTTATTAGCATATATTACACAAAGGGGGTTTCAGAGTGACATTTCCATACCAGACATTGATCAAATTCATCCTATTTACTCTTCACACCCCTTTCTAAGAGTTTTTAGTGGATTTCATCATACTACTTTTATGTAACGTAAATTCATGATTATTCACTCCTCTCCCCAAATACTATCTTTTCCTGGAGCATAACTCTCTTCTAAGCACTCAGGAACAGAAGGGTTCTTTTCAGTCTTAGCCTAAACTCTACCCAGCTTTCTCCTGGGGATTCTCATTGTCTCTGTTTGAAAGGAATCTCATTTCCTGCATTAGTTGTCTTCTCATTTCTTGGTTCATTCTAGAAGTTTCAAATGTAAGTAAAATTGCAAAAGATGTCTTTTTCTAACAACTTTGATGTTAAAAACATTGGCATCTACCACTGAAAATTAGTTGTCAGTTTTTTTTCTCTCTCAAACTAGGATCTGTTGTTTCCTAGTATCTTAAGATTTCACAGTAATGAAGGGGCCGTGACCCTCATTTTTCCTAATGCTCTGGGATATGTAGTTGTAGATCTTTTAAATTGACTAATCATACTTAAGAACTATAATGTAATACTGTGAGACAGAATGGTAAAAATCAAGCTAATGAACATAATCCTTCCCCTTCTATAATTTTCTCTGTGTTGTGAACCTTTTAAAATCTGCTCTGAGCAATTCTGAAATACGCATTACATTATTATTAGCCCTACTCAATTTTTAAATCCAATATCATGTCCTGTAGCTACCCCTCCACTCCTCTTTTCTTCTTGGGCTTAATTTTATTCAGACTGTTTAGAGTCCTTTCCAAATTATTTCCCCTCAAATATGAAGTGCTAAAATGTAATCATGCACCCTGACTTTACCTTTCAGTTTTTTTCCAGAAAGAACTGACCAAAAGAGGATAAAAGGGTCCTTCACAGCAACAGCTGTTAAAATAAGTAAACTCTATAGATTTCATGAAAGCATATTAAAAAAAGCAGTAACCTTTTTGTCTTAGTACGCATCTGTGGCATTCCTAGTTTTATTGACTTCATGGATTTCATTGCCTGATCTTAGCCAGGGTAATCTTAAGAACAGGTTCAGAATTCCCAGGGCCAAATCGCCAAGTAGACGAAAAATAAAACTGATGTTAGAAAGTCAGAGCTGCTTTGGGCTACTGTGTGCCCTGCTAGGCTGTGGTCACCGGGAGAGCGAGGTGGGGATGTGCACACCATGCATCCCATTGACTGTTCTGGCTCCTCTCTCTGCAGCTGGGTTGCAGAAGAGTGGGAACATTGCACCAAAACCTGTGGCAATTCCGGCTACCAGATCCGCACCGTACGCTGCCTCCAGCCACTCCATGATGGCACCAACCGCTCTGTGCACAGCAAGTACTGTGTGGGTGATCGTCCTGAGAGCCGCCGGCCCTGTAACAGAGGGCCTTGCCCGGCCCAGTGGAAAACTGGGCCTTGGAATGAGGTGGGTGTGTGAAATTCTATGTGCAGTAAATTTTAACTTGACTTAAACATCAGATAGGCTTTGTGTAAACTGAGGAACTGGCATGTTTTCTAGTCATCTGGGGTTGGTAGGAAATTTTAACACTTTAAAACAGTACTGCAGTTAAAAATCAGGGCCAGTGGCTCAGGCCTGTAATCTTAGCTATGCAGAAGGCTGAGGATCAAAGCCAGCCCAGGCAGAGAAAGTCCATGATACTTTTATCCCCAATTATCCACCAAAAATCTGGAAGTGGGGTATGGATGGCTCAAGTGGTAGAGTGCCATCCTTGAGCAAAAAAAGCCAGAAGATGAGATCCTGAGGTCAAGCCCCAGTAAACAAATTACTTGGTAGGAACAATCCATATTTATGTGCATTTGTGGCATGAAGGTGTGTCTAAAAGATATACCAAGATCTTTGTTCATTTCTATTTGTACACACTAAATTCCAAACAGACCTTGCTTGTTGAAGCGTACTAGCTTCCACTTGGCTTGTTTTTGCCAGGGTCCAAATTCCCACCTGCACATTCATAATGCTGTGAAGCTTAGCTGTAGCAAAGGACTGACACCTCTCTGAGTCTGTGCAGTTTTCCAAAACATCATCCTTTGCTTCCCCAGCATGCAGCCATTGCCTGGTGAAGGATGATGTTTGGTGATAGGCTGACTCATTGTGACCTTGCCCATATTGTCACCTGTGTTTGGTATTTGTAAAGAGCACGGAGGAGGAAGCATGCAAGTGAGGGTTGTCCATGCTGAGCAGTGAATACAACTCACATCCCATTCCTCCCAGAGAACAAAGGTGCTTCTTCATAGCTTGGAAGTTGCTATCTTCATTAATAAATCTATAGGAGTAAAGTAACAGTAGTTACTGTGATGAAGCTGAGTTCATCAAGGCCATCCTAATGGCTTCTGGGTTGTGTACGACATCTTACTTCCTTTGCTCTTAGTCCCACAGTAGTACTCTGAGGCAAGAATCACTATAGAAGCTTATGGAAGCTTTCTAGATGAGGATATTGAAATTCAAACAGTACCAGGTTGAGGATGATAAATGATGGAGCCCTTGTTTAAACCCTGTCTTCAAAACCACTGATAATAATCATGGCCCCAGTAGAGAAACAACCACCACAGAACTAGGGGGACCATGAGTGCACATGGCTTCCAGTCTTGGTGGAATAAACCACTAACTACAGCCTTTATCTCTGTAGTGTTCAGTGACCTGCGGTGAGGGAACAGAGGTGAGGCAGGTGCTGTGCAGGGCTGGAGACCAATGCGACGGGGAAAAGCCCGAGTCTGTCAGAGCCTGTCAGCTACCTCCCTGTAATGGTAAGTGGGATCTCACTGTTCTGATGGTTTTTTTTTAAGCTTTTACATGAGTAAGGTACATTTCTCATTGAACACTATTACCCACTCCATTATTGTTCTCCAACTATCCCTTCCCTCTCCAGACTCCACCCCCACCTCAAAGTTGTAAAGTTCATTTCCAACATTGTGTCCTGTGAGTATCATTGGTGCAATGGGTCATCTTTTGTACTTCTTTCAGCATTTTGTTATTTCCCTTTCCCCAATCAGATAAATGCATCTCCCTGGCAATCTGTGGTACACTCCATCTGATGATTTTTTTTTTTTTTTTTTGGTCTGGTTGTGGGGCCTGAACTCTGGCCTTGGGCGCTGTCCCTCAGCTCTTCAGCTCAAGGCTAGCACTCTACCACTTGAGCCACAGCGCCACTTCCGGCTTTTTTCTTTTTGCTTATATGGTGCTGAGGAATCGAACCCAGGGCCTCAGGCATGCAAGGCAAGCGCTCTACCACTGAGCCACCTTCCCAGCCCCTCTGATGATGTTTTTAAACCTAGCAGAGAAATAAGCAAAGAAAAACATCCTTGCAGTATTAGCCTGACTGCTACTTGTGACATGGCCCACCTCACCTACCCGTAACATTGGAATGGTGCAGTTTCGTGTGTGTGTAGATCTTGCCAATTTAGGTCTCTAATGAGGGCTACTTATTTTTATTCATTATGTTCTTCAAGTAAAATTTCACATTATTTCACACCCATGTTGATACATTAATTTTAGCAAATATGGCCTAGCAATTGGCTATATTTAAAAAATAATGTGTATTTTCTTTGTTTAAAACATATTGGTTTCCATCTCTGTATCTCAGCCTGTCTCATTTTGCCCTCTTTTCTGTGTTCCACACGTTAGGGGCCTATTTCTACTCTGCCCCCAGGCCCAGTTACCTCGTGATTTGACACATTTTGAGATTCAGGATTAAAGGTTTCTTTTCCCCAGCCTACAAATCCCAAAGTAAGCCACAGATATTGACATATGCTATGCTTTTCAACAAAGTTTGAATGTTTTTATATTTTGAAGTTTCAGGCTTTAAATCTTAAAAATAATTTTCATTATACAATGGCAAGTACAGATATGACCATGAGGGGGAGACATAGCACTTACAATTTGCTTTTTTGGCTTTGGTTTTGAAGTAAACTGATTTTGTATCTGGTTTAAAACCTTAAAATTTACTACTGCTATCTCTCTATATATATTATGTTACACGTATATAATATATACTATATATTATATTGAATATAATATATACACATATGTGTGTGTATAATTTATGAAATTGACAGGCTGAACTCTTTCCAGGAAAGCTTGATTGATCTTAAAATCTGGTAGACATAGCTAAAATATGGAACCAACCCAGATGAATGGATCAAGAAAATGTGGTATATATACACAATGGAATTCTATGCCTCCATCAGAAAAAATGACATTGCCCCATTTGTTAGGAAATGGAAAGACTTGGAAAAAATTATATTAAGTGAAGTAACCCAGGCCCAAAGAAACATAGGTCCCATAGTTTCCCTTATTTGCAATTACTAGTATATGTCTAGGACAATCAGAAAAGGTCAAAGGCTATGTACATATGACCATATAAGATGATGCTAAGCGAAATGACCAAGATAGGGACACGAGATTTTATCTTTCTTGCTGTTCTTTTTAATATACTATGTGACTTTTTTTCTTCCTTTTGTGTGTTTTTCCCCCTTGGTATAACCCCTATTTTTACTGTATTTGATTCCTGTGCCCTGCATCTTGTATGTACATTTTTCTAATTTAGAGAGGAGAAGGGAAATAACAAAATGCTGAAATAAAGATACAGGATGACCCATTGTAACAACGAAATGTACGAGACACTATGTTGAAAATGAACTTAACAACTTGGTGGGGGGAAGGAAGAAGTTGGGGAGGAAAGGGATGGTAGGGGAAAAACAGAGGGGTAACAATGCTTGACAGGAAATGTACTCATTACCTTACTCATGTAACCCTTCTGTACAGTATCTTTCCAATGAAAATATTTTTTACAAAGCTGGTTAATTTTTCTATCAGACATGGGAGCTATGGAGAACATCACTATATTAGTAGTTCCACATTTCTCTGCTAATCTGTAACTCGAAATCTATGCCTAAAGGCCACACATTTCTACATTTTTATCAAACAGGTAAAAATTCCCCTGAGTCACCATCTATTGTAGAACCAAATGGATTTTTGAGATCAGATGTAAAAATTCCTTAATTCCTTTTCCTGACTTACTCATATGGAGGTAGAGCAAGAAAGTTGGAAAATTTCCTTAACTGATTTCGTTGCCTTTAAGCCTTTCTCATGTATGACAAGAAAAATTATCGTGAAGAAGTGGCTAAAGATTCCTCTATGTGCATTTGCCCTTCCTCCATCTCTCTCCCCTTTCCTCTTCTACACAGAAGTATATTCGGGTTTTAAAAGAGACCAGGCTCCAATTACAAAGTACTCACACTTTACAGAGTCTCCCATTTACAGTCTTCCTCCAGCAACAAGGGAACACCTCATACTTTTGTACTCAGGAGGTTAAAGCCTAACCTATTCCTTATTTAAGGACATAACTATTGACCATTTAGAGTGAAGCCCACTAATGATCCTCAAGCATTCACAACATCAACTACAGTGACTTTAGCTGTAATATGATTCAGTCTATAATTTGAGATGTGGACATAGCATGATAGATCTTAGGATAATTCCTGGTCTGACCTAAGTACATACTCATTTTGCATGAACTTAGTAAATAATAGTGTGGGTGTATATAGAGAAACATCAAATACTTTGAGAGTAACTTCATTCCCTTAATTCTTTAAGAAAGTATTAAGGGAATGAATCAACCTTAGCTCAAGAACTATGGCCTATTTCATGCAAATTTGTGCTTTCAACAGTAACCTAAGAATTTTCACTGGTAAACACTTAAAGTAGAAGGGACACTGGGACGCTATTAGAAAGGCAGCAATTCAATATAAAACAAGCATAAAAATATAAGCCTTTTTTTTAATCTTGACAAATATCTGTGATGGTTCTCATTTCCCACTCTGAGACCCAAACTACCCTGCTAAACATTAAAATGGTAGTGGTAATGCCAATGGCTGTGACTAAAGAGCTTCCTATTTCAGTGAATTCAGTGAATTCAGCCTAACGTATGTTTTCACTTTTGCAGATGAGCCATGTTTGGGAGACAAGTCCATATTCTGTCAAATGGAGGTGCTGGCCCGATACTGTTCCATTCCAGGTTATAAGAAGTTGTGTTGTGAGTCGTGTAGCAAGCGCAGCAGCACCTTGCCACCACCCTACCTGGGAGAAGCTGCTGCAACTCACGATGATTCTATCTTCAGTTCGAGTGACCTCTCAAAATCTCTAGTGATGCCTACACCTTTGGTTCCTTACTATTCAGAGACCCCTGCTGAGAAAAAGTCTTTGGGAAGTCCACACACACATGCTGCTTTCAGCAGACCTGATGGTGCTAACTCACCCCAGAGAGGAGCACAGCAGGCTGGAAGTAAGACTCTGACCCCGGTCTCAGAACCATCCTCCTCATCCACCAAGGGTGCTGGCCACCTTGATTCTGCTTCACAGGTGGCTGCTGCATCCTTCCTTGACATCAGTGATTCCACAGGTGCTTCTTCTCAGGCAAGAACCTCAAAGAAAGATGACAAGATAATAAGGTTGCCTATTTTAGAAAGATGAGAAGATAGATCTGGAAACCTGGACAACCTCTCTCTCTGCATGGTGCATACAGCTTGTTCAAAGTGGGAATCTCCATAGATGGTTTACTTTTATCGGTTAAATGGAAGTATGTAAAGTGCTGGTTCACTTTCTCGTTGCTTTTATCCTCCCTTTTTATTCTGCATTGACTCATTTCACCAGAATTCATCAGAAGAAAGGACCAAAGATATGTTCACAAAAAGACAGTGCATTGCTGAGTCTGGTGGCTGCTCTCTAGAAGAAGGGACTGGAACCAATTGTGCATATCAGCTGATTTTTTTAATGCCAACGGTTTACACCTCAAGAAATTTTGGAAATAGTGCAAAGAATTGTTAGACTTGTATTCCTATTTATCTATATTAGAAATATTGTATGGGCAAATTTGCAGCTGTTGTGTAAATACTGTATATTGCAGAAATCAGTATTATTTTAAAGAGATGTTCTTGAATGATTGTTTACTATCTTACATTTCTGGATGTTCTAGGTGCCTGCCATTGAGTATTGCCTTATTTGACATTCCATAGGTTGATTTTTCAAAGCAGAATATTATGAAGAAGTTAGAATTACAGCTACTGACAATATAAGAAGCTTTGTTGTATGGTTTTTGTTGAATCAACAATGTGATACTTAAATTATAGAAAAAGCAGAGAACTGAAAGAAAAAGCAGAGAACTGAAAGATAAACAGATCTCATCTATTCCCTATTGTTTCTACAACTAAAACACAAAACCCAGGATTGATAATAATTAGAGCAGTAAATGAACCTGTACAAGACAAATGGTCTTGCCAGGACCTCATTTTGCACCCTTGTGATTTTTCTAATTTTCCTATTGCTGATATACAAATGCTTATACTTTTGAGTAGCTGAGAAAAGTATCAGACTAGAAGTGACAGTGCTTTGAAAGCAGGTTCAAGGAAGTATTCGTTAATGGTTGAAATAATTTATTTTCTGCATGGTTCATATCCAAATATTCACAACCACAATGCATCCGACTGCAATAATGTGCTAGTAATTTATGTCAGTGATCACCTTGCTCATAGTGAAGCCAGAAATGCTCTCTCCAGGGAGTAGATGTAAAGTACTTGTACATAGAATACAAAACGGAAAATATTTATTAAAAGTTGATTTTTTTCTTGATAGTATTTTTATGTACTAAATATTTACACTAGTAACAATAAAATATTTTGGTAAACTAGAGAGAGAATTTTCTGTGCCATAGAGGAGAAATTAATGCAAAGCCTATCACCACAGCCAATTCAAAGCTAAAAATCAATTTAATATCATGTAAACAAACCTTTGTTTTGCCTTTTTTTTAAGTAGTGGATGCAAAGCTGTTTCCCTTGATGGAAACATAAAATAGGAATTCAGCTACAGTTATGTCTTTAATGAACAGCGAATTAGAAACATTTTAAGGTGTATGAAAGATAAATATTCCACAAATGACACGTAAAGTATCCTAAGCAGAAGGTTCGAAGGCAATATTTGTAAACTATAGACATATTAACCTGTCAAAGCACAGATGTTCAAGGACTTCTACATTTTGATAGTAAACAGCCTCAAACATTGATTCTATACCTCTAAAATGAATCGCTGCTACTTTGTAAAACACATTGGGTGAATTCCAGATAGTAAAACAATCCCTGAGCCTTGAAGAGAAGTTATTTTTCCCCCCTAATATTATTACCAGAATGAGATTCTCTCTAGTTTACTTGCATGTGCATATGTCTAGTCCACAGGGACTATGAAGATGGTCAAACACACACACCTCCCATAAAGATGGACAAATTTATTCTACTTCTGACCTATGAGCTTTCTCTTCTACTAAGCTAAAAATTACTTTCCATCAAAGTGTACACTACTGATGCTGTTTGTTGTATTGGGAACATGTAGCAATAAAAATAAAAATGTTAAAATAGAGATCTGACTTGACCTAGATTTTTATCATTAGAATGCTGGATCCTATAGTAGCGGAAACATGTAATTTCCTTCTCCAAACAGAAATGGCATCAAGTTCATTTACTACTTTGTAAAACAAATTGGGTGAATTCCAGATAGCAAAACATCATGAGATATTGTCTCCTTTTCATATCAAAATATGTCTTTAAAAAAAAAAAAAACAACAAGCGGGAGCCAGGGCACTGGTGGCTAATACCTATATCCTGAAATCTGAGGATTGTGGTTCAGAATCAGCCAGGGCAGGAAAGAACATGAGACTCTTATCTCCAATTAATCACCAGAAAACCAGAAGTGGCACTGTGGCTCAAATGGGGGGAGCACTCACCTTGAGCTGAAGAGCTCAGGGACAGCACCCAGGTCCAGAGTTCACAAAACAAAACAAACAAACAAACAAACCCAAGAGGTTCTGGGGGGTGGTTTTCTGCTTCACTCTGTCCCACAAAACCTCAGAGAGAAAAGATGGAGATTTATGAAAAGGAAAGGAGTGGGGTCTTCAATTATTTTAAATTATGTGCAGCATCTGAGTGGCTTTGAACCTGGATTAGCCAAAGCCTGGTGAGAACAAACAACTCAAGCCTCAGGACTATCAGGGAGGAGGAAACACACAGTGAATGGCTTTTTATTATGAGAGCAGGAAAGGAGACACTATGCAATGGTGATTAGCACTATGAACTGCAAAGCTAAAAGGCTCAGGTTTGATCTCCTCCTGCAACTTCATACTTGAATGACCTTAATCAACCTAAGTTTTGGTTTGCTTATCTATAAAATTGGAGGCAGTTTCAAGAAGAAAGATTGCCTGACTTAGGTAACTGTAACCCCTCTGTACATCATCTTTACAATAAAATTGTTAAAAATTGGAAGAACTGACATACATGTTTACTATGAGAAATGAATTAATAAGTACAGCTGCAGAGCCTAGCCATTATACTAAGTCCTCTATTCTCCCCATCTTCATTGTACACTTGAACCATAGCTTTAGTCTGATAACCACAGCTAGTTTAAATCCTGGTCACTCAAGCTCAATGATGACAGGAAGAGAACATGACTTGGGAAAATTCAAAGATCACTCATCTTTAAAATTTAATAGAATGTACTAATTTAAAATGGTCTCCTGTTAGTGACTGTATAAAATTCTAGCTAAATATCTACACTGTCCCTTTGCAAGCACTAGGTAATTGTAGCTAATCCCTTAGTTTGACTATGAATTCCTCTCATGATACCCAATAGTGCCAACAAGCTATTAGCAAATAAAAGGTGTTGCTCATACATTTAATTTAAACACATGCAGAAAGTAAGTCATTTTTCAACAAAGAAACTAAACTATAAAAGAAGAAAGTGATCAAGATCTAGATAAATCTAGATAAATCAAGAAAATCATTACTTGATAAAAAGTATTGTTAAAGGGGGTTAAGTATTTAAAATGAGGTAAAATATGCAAACTACATTAGAGTAAATGGAAATTATCAACACATTAATAGAAACTTGTGGATAATTCAGAGACAAAGTTTAACAACTTCTCAAAATATTAACTATTAAATATAAGAAAGCATAGCTTACTAAGATGAATTTGACATCCAAAGTGTATATTTTAAAAAGAGCAAAGATGTGTATGAATTCCTGCAAAGTTATTATGCAAAGTTATGATAGAATTCACCAGAGAATTACAATTGCTCAATCAAATTGCCCCTATCCCAATAAATGACAACTAAAATACTGGTCCTGAGCATTTTTGTTTTATAGTAAGTACTAATGATATTGTGATTTGAAACATTGCTGTTTTCCAGCCAATCTGTAATTTCATGCAAATAATTGGTTTGACTTATCATCTTTCAGCCAGTTAACAACAATTAACCTAGGGCTGAGTCATACTATATATACTGTAATGCTGAGTAATACTTGATCTACCAATACCTCCAAAATATTCCATCAAGGAAGAGAAATATTATTCCCCATATTATTCTTAATTGTTATCACTAGTGTTACTATTCCCTGGCATGTTGTATCACTTTGACAGTGATGGCAATGAAAGATTAAGCTTTTAAAAATACCAATTTTAAGTCTTCGATGACCAACAGAATATTAAGCAAGAGGATGGTGAAAATTGCTTACAGGTGTCTATTTCTGCCACATTGCCTTAAGTATACTAAAACACACTTACTGCCTATATTATAATATGGGTTATTGAGGGAGGGGAAGGCCTAGCAGAAATTCAAAGTCCCTAGATGAGATGGTCAACAGAATTACATATTTTCCACATTTTTAATAACCTCTGTTATTTGGAGACTGCATTTTGACATGTCTATGCATACAATGTTCCTTGATCAGCCTGCCTCACTTCCCCATCCTCCACCATCATGCTTCCCTACTCCTCATTTCAAGACCAGCTCAACAGGCTTTTGGTTCCATTGTAACAAATATACTTAAAGTATTACTGTATATTCCTTCCTTCACCTTCTCAGTTCACCCTCCGCATTTCTACTAATACCCATTGTTGCTGAGCATGTTCTTTTTCTGTTTTCAAGATCTTTTTTTTTGTTTTTCTTAAAAAAGTATCTGGTCTCTGGACAATGTGCCTAGAGCTCCTAAAGAATAAAGTTTTAGCGAACATGAAGGACCTGGTATTACCCAGAGAGCCTTCCCAGCTAGATATGCAGATGGATGTTCAGTGGACTCCTCTGTGGACATGCCTGGAAGACCTACCTGAACTCACAGACTTGGTTGGGAGACATACTGATACCTGCTGAGCTGACACTCCTAGGAAATCTCATAATGGAAAAAATAATACTATTAGGAGACATTAAATTATCATTTGTTTTAAAATTAGAATTCACATAGAAAAATTATACTTTGGAAAACTCAGTTGAAATGTATCTGACTCTTATTCTTGCTTACCCAAACCTCAAAGGTCAGGTTGTCATTTAATTCAAATTCTCTTTATCTAACCATAAAAGATAGGCAAGAAGTTGCCTATTGAGAAGCCACAGGTAAAACACAACCACACAATTGGTTTCTTGTCACACTTTAAATCTGCAGATAGAATACAGCTCTAAGAATTCTTTTTAATATTTTGAGTTACACCCTCACTGTCTCATCATTGATCCAAAAGAGAACCAGTTATAGCAAGAAAACTACTCACTGCCACATAAACACACAAGCACACATTTTCATTACTGCAAAGAGATGTGACAGGAAGACAATTAGGAAAACAACTGAAATTGCCCAAGAGTGTTAATAAAATAATCTCTTAAATATAATTTCATTTAATCTTCCTTATAATCTTAAGACATGTCAAACCATATATACTAATTGATTTACATGAGCTTCAAAACAGTACAACTTGTTAAGATATTGTTGATTTACACTTACAACAAGATATGTGATCTAAGAAATGTACTTCAGGAAAGATGACTAAGCTATCACAAGTATTCTCACATGAATATAACTAAAATAGTATCTAAAATTAATTGTCCAGAAGAGAAGTTTTAAATATTATTTTATCAACTACTTCCTAATTGCTATCAGGATGAAGGCTACTTAAAAATTGATTTTACTCCACTATATTTATAATTTCTTTGATTTAGAGCTACATTATGATACATAGAAACATAATAAAAATTGGTAAGCCTGTAAAAGAAGTGGGTGATAAAAATATCAGTGCAGCCAATCATGTAGAAATGAAGGGTCTAAATGATGTAAGGCGCTCGATTTTATTTCACAAATTTTGAACCGTGCCCTTCTTCTATTGAGAATTGTAACTTTTTCTTTTCTTTTTTTTTGTAGCACCCAATAAACATGTCTTTTGTGTCTTCCATTTTAACTACAAAGGCAAGACTTCATTAGTACCTTATCAAATCTTAAAATTACCAAATCCTAAAACAAATGACAAAAAATGGTCATCTCAATAATATGCTACACAAAGAACAGCTATAAAGGTTGATCTATTTGCCATTCTTTCTTCTTCATGTATTCATTCCACAAGTGGTATAATTTTCTAAATCAAGGGTTGGCATTTTTTTTTTTATAAAGCACCAAACCGCAAATGTTTGCAAATGTACCTAACACTGTAAGATTTTTGTTACAGTTTCTCAAATTCTGTCAGCCTGAAAACATTGACAGACCAAGGAATGTGTGTGGCTGGTACCGACGTGATAGCAAGCTACATTTGATCCATAGCTATGGTCTGATGATCCCATATCTAACAGAACAGCGGGGCTATGAGGAAACCAAAGTTGCTGCTCTCAGAGAACTTACATTCTAAAATGACACATACAAACA